GCCATCTTAGATAACCTTGCTTAGCATCAAATGTATTGTTATTATTATTGTTTTGTTGTTGTTTTCATCAATATTCTCTGTAGTAATATGAAATTGTGCCTTGAATATTGTTGCAGATTGTCGGTGTTCTGAAGCTGCTCCGTCCTGTTGGAGAGCCTCCAGCTGCCCTGCAGAGTGAACACACACATGTCATGCTCCACAGTCACGCGGCTGCCAGCTTTGTCTGGTCACAAGGTTTTTAGTTTTCAGTGATTTATTGAACCAACTGAGGTTTGGTTTGTTAATATCACATGGCAGTCATTTAAATGTGGTTGTCTCATGTGTCTTATATCACATATAGTCTAAAATTACCACACACGAAAAGATGATGTAGTTGAAATATTGGTCATAAGGTGCACACACACACACAAACACACACACCATTTTGTGGGATCTTCTGTGCTATACAGCCTACAATTATTAACAGCAGGGATCATAGAGTGTTGTCTTTATTATCTTCTAGAAATGGCACAATGCTGGTTCACAAACAGAGAACCAGCATCACCACACATGAGGGAGACCCTTTCAGGTGTATTGCCAGAGCACTGCTTGAGAATTCTCCTGACAGCTGGACTACATTGTTTTGGTTACAGGATCATGAGGGGAACTTAATGGAGTCCAACTGCTGAGCTATCCACTGGCAATAGGCCCAGCACTCGCTGAAGATACAAAACGTAGTTGATTACCATAAATGGAGAAGGATTCAATATGCAGAACCTAAATGGATGTTATATGTAGAAATAATATATATATAGGGATATTTGTTTCCTCCTACAGTTAAAGGTTTCCTGTTCATGTATGTACTACTGCTGTGTTTTAAACAAATGTTTGTATCAGGTTTGTATCTGTCTGGCTCTGAGATTCTTACAGTAGTCCTGTATTCAAATAATTATTTGAAGGGACAGACCACTAGCTCATGTGCTTTCACATCAGGATTTGAACTACTTTGAAATAATTTAGCATACACACTCAGACACACACATTTTTACTACAAGCTTTAACGTACATGCTGAGGTACCACTTACTGTCTTTAAGGGTCCACTTGTGCTTACATACTGATCCATTTCCCAGCTACATCCTCAAGTAAATGACCATTACAGAAAGTTATTCTCATATGATTTTTGTTTCTTAATGAGTTATTAATGAAGGTCTGTGATTTTTATTGTACAGTATACAAGTGACAGGATCATAATGTTGTCCTCTGGTTATTTTAATTTCAAAGCCACTATCTTTTTAAAACATGACAGATCCATGTTTTTTCATTTCTTACTTGCTTTACTAGCTTTCTTTCATTTATTTTTTTCATTGTTTCAATATTCAAATGTGGGGTCAGTACGGTTGTTGTTTTCTTTCTTTCTTCTTGTGTTTTTATTTTAAGATAAAGTATCACATTGTGTGGTTTCTCGCTTCTGGACTCTGACCAGACAGATTGCCGTAACATGAGGATGTCATCCGACAGCTTCACTTCCTTATTCCACGAACACATAATTCCTTAAAGACTGTAGACACCTGTTGCAATCTGTTTCATTTCCCTAGGCGTAGATTTTATTTTGGTGCTAAAGCAGTTGAAATGTCTTTCAGCTCTTTCTTTTGTGTGTCAGGGAGATTTCTCTCGCATTTTGCTGACACATTTGATTAAATATAGGCTCTCAGTCTAATAAACAATGTTTTACCTTTTTAAATGTGCATTTAATCAGGAAACAACACATCGAGGCTTTGGTTTCATTATCTATAGCATCCTTCAGTAACTGAACATTTTAAAAGTGAAAGACTCACCATGTGATCTGAGAAAAATGTGTGCCTTGCATAAGAAAAAAACGACTACAATCAGTTGCATTCAAGTTTTAACTGTATGATGTGTAAATTCCTGTGTTACATTATATAATGTCATTCATCAGTTGTTGGAACATTGTGTTAATGTTGAATCATTATACCAATTCACAGTATGTTGCAGCTCCAAAGAATGACATCAATAATTTATGAAAAAATGTTATTGTTGTTATTATTATTGTTTATATTTATTTTACAGAAATAAAATTACTATGGTCTATCTGGTTTAGTGTTTTATATTTTTTATAATGCATAATTATGTATTATGTATGTGGCTGGAATTATTTTGAGTGTGCATTACTCATTATTTGATTTTATTCTGTTACAGTTTTTAAGCTTCTGTTCCCAAAGAAGAATCATTCACAATTGCCTTAAGGCCTTGGTCGAATAAATAAAAGAGAGCAAATATTTGTTTAACCTCTTAAGCACGGCGGTCCCCCCATTGGACCCCTCCCACCTTTTTGTTTTCGAGATAATGTCTCAGGGCTTCTTAACATTTATGAAACTATTAATGTGTAGCACCAGATTAACGGGAAGAATCTCAGCTAACTGAAGATATGAACCATTTTTACCAAAACAAAACACAAGTCTCATAAGAAGGGTCTAAATGACCCCTGAGCGAAAAAATTCTAACGCACTGCGGCACACAATTCAAGATAAAGATACCCTTATTACTTATCGTAGCCGCACATACAATATAGCCTATTAAAGCTGAGACTCCACTGATTATTTAGTTATAGTATCATCACTGAGCGATCTGAACTTGCGACAGGGGAAGCAAACACAGACATCACAACACGTACCTTTACGGAGGTTTTACGGCAGATCGTCTCACCGTAGCTGTCAATTAGGTCAAAAGACGTGTTCAATGGCATTAAAACGAAAAAAAAAATGTCTACAACTGTTGATCCATAGGTTGATAATGTACCTGTACCTTTTTAAAAATTATTTATAATCCATAATTCCATTTTTTATGTAAAAATCGGAGCGGAAAAGTTAGCTGCTAATGGTAGCCACCAGAGTGTATGCAGCTTCCGGTTTTGGTAACGCGTCACTCTCACTCCTTATTTGTTAACGTGTTGGTGTGTATATAACTTTCCCTCGATTCCATTGGCTCTAGCGGTTATAAAGAGATTTCATTCATCAAAATCGACCAAGGGGGGCCAGAGATAGGTCAAATCCACCCAAATGACCCCAGAAGTGGGGTTTTTTGGCTAAATCTCTCTAAAAAGGTCAAATTTCACTTGTTTTGCATCAATCTTGATACAGGGTACTTATTATATGTTGTACTTTGGATTCCTAAAGCTTTTAGTCTACTAACCCATCATCCAAGGGTAGTTTTCACTATAAGTAAAAATTATCTTTGGACGGACACTATAATTTACAGTTTTTTACTATGTAAAATCTGAATTTTCTTTAAAATAAAAAACATCTATATTGATTCTGACTTTTCTACATCCAACTCACAGGTTTATCATTACTTTGAGAATAAAGATTATTAATTTAACCCTTTTAGAAGGGAAGATATGGTCATTTGTTCTGGGAATGTCATTTTCGAGCCTGAGACCTGAAAAACAGGCTCAGGGCTTAAAGGCCCCTACACACCAGGCCGATATCGGCCGTCTTGCGTTGTTGGGCGAAAACGGGTTCCTTGTCGCCCAAAGTGAATTTGGTGTGTCCCGAACCCTCGGCCGTGACACGCCTTATTTGGCCTTTCACGATCGACAACCGGCCGGGTGTCTGACACAAGCTATCGGGCCAAGAAACCACTCTGATCAGCTGTTCAGCTAGCAAATGAGAAGCGAAACGGAAGTGAGGGACGTAAACAAACGATTTAAGGAACAGGACAGAAGCTAAACACCAGCAGGTGATCCTTAAAGACATCAAACATAGCCCTTAAATGTCCTCTCTTACCTCCCACACATAGCAGGGACATCTCTGATATCGGCGGGAGCGTCCCCGGCTGTCCTCTGCTGAGAGCTCCGTGATTTGTTTGGTCAAGTCCGGTTTTTCATCTCATCGTAAATTTAGCAAGAAGTGGCCATTATTACATTGCTGACTCAATAAACTACACACCCGCCAGAACACTGCGATCATCAGATGCAGTTCTATTAACTGTGATTTGATAGTATGTCTGCACTTTATGTGCTCATTTCATCATTCATGTATTTTTATATTCTAAAACATGTTTTCGATGGACGAGAGTGAAAATGGAACGGCACCCGCTATTTGTTTGTTTATGTCAGTCTGTTCTTCTTCTCTGTCTTCCGGTTGTTGCCTATTTTGAATGACGAATACACACTACCGCCGCCTGCTGGTAAGGAGAGTTATTGCCACTCACGCATGCGCAGTTCGTACGTGCTCGGCTGTAGTAAAGCGGTGTATTTCAGTGCGACACACGGCCAATACGCAGGAGAACTCGTCGATGGATCTGTCGGTGTTGGATGTCGGCGAGTTCTCTGGTGACTGCCTGGTGTGTCAGGGCCTTACGACGCTGCAGAGAACGGTGAACTGGAGGTGTGTTTTTGTGTTTTTCTTCTACTGTTGTACAGTCAGACTGAAACTAACAACACGAGTAAAAGCAGATGAGTGGTTCACACTGAACCATCTGTTTTGAATGAATGGCCTCATGCTTACCACCACTCTGACCTTCTGCTTTGAGTAACGTATTGTTGTATCACAGTCTGGTCACGCAGATGACCACAATATTGACGTGTTGCAATCAGAGAAAATTGAAAATGTTCTCTGATTTTTACACCACATTGAAGTTGAATTGACATTGAACTCAATGAAAAATTACCCTTACCCTGACTCTAAAGATGCTGGCCTATGGATTAGATGGTTCGAGACTCATAAAGTCCTATTTTTCAGCCCACCTTTTTGCAGCCTTATAACCAATCCAGGTGTAGGTATGGGTCTTTTTAGATCTTGAATCATTATATATCAAGTGTAAATATAATAACAAAAGTTAATAGTTTAACTTTTTACAGTTTCTAAACAGTAATCATCTCACAAAGCTTTATGTAAGTTATATTTATTCTGACTGAAGCAAGCTGATTTAGTGCACGGCTGTCACATTGACTGCCACTGTCATTTTCTCCATCTTATTGATAACTTCTACCACTCTCTCCGTGTCTCTCATGTCACTCTCCAGTGCTGTCAGATCCTTGTGGTCAATGGGGTGGACCTGGGCACCAGGGACCAGGACGGCTTCACAGGAGCAGACCTGGCTGAGTACAACGGCCACTCCCAGTGTGCCAAATATCTGCGCACTGTGGAGAACATGGTAAGAGACACAGCTGTGCACCATGACTAACTCGAACCTCCCTAAACCTAGAGGGAATTATCAGTGGGGATCAAACTCCAATCTTACAAAAATATAGCATAAGTCCGAAAAAATGAGGTTTAAATTGTGTAAATGCTGTTAAAATGATCTTCATTAAACTACCAAAGAAGGAAAGAAATCTCCAACCTACTCTATACTAAATAAGATTACCCCAGAGCTGAATGCGGTGACAGGCAGTCATAAGTGACATTCATGGGCAATTGGACCATAGATAGACCCAGAATAAAGTACAATATTTGTTTTAGACAGAACATTTGCACAGCACATAATGTGAAATGTTGCCTTGTTTGTTTAAATAGCAGCAAAATTGCCCAACTTCCACTTTATCCGCATCTGCATGAAATGATGAGTTATCATTCCTGCTTTAATACTTGTTCCATGACCAAACTGTAGTCCAAATGTTATCAGTCAAACTTATCCTTTAAATATGCTAATTGAAATACATAATTGGAATTCTTCCTTTGTTGATCCCGCAGTGCCCAAATGCAACCATGGAAAAAAAACAAGCTGGCACTGAGCCAACATGTCCCTCGACTGGCATCAGTTGTTGCCAATTATCGGGGCTATTAACTCTTGGTATACAGTGTACTCCACGGCTTCAACCACACAATATCCCCAAGTGGCCAGAGGAATAATAAGCCCTCCACACTGAACTCTCTCTGGTGTGTGGGAAACATATTCCCCCCCCCCCCCCCCCCTCTGGGACTCTTTCCATTAGGGACATTCAGCGAACTGAGTCCCGTGCTGTGGGAAAAGCAGAGGGCTCCAGAGCCTTTTTGATCAGCTGTGAGATGTTTCATTAGTGTGCAGTAATTAAACTCATAATGCTGTTCTCCTCGTGTAAGTCATCAGGGAATAAGAGGTAGTAGGATTTATGAACTGATGAATGAACGGATAGATAATAGATTTATTTATTATACTTATTTATCTTTCATGTGTAATGACACTGTATCCTTTTACATTAAATAGAATGAACCATACATGTTAAATAAAACTGATATGATGATGGCTGTTTTCATGAACTGCATCTTTTGACAGAGTGTGGAGCACCGTGTTTTGTCCCGGGACCCCTCAATGGACCTCGAGTACAAGCAGCCGGACTCGGGTCTCTCGTCCCCAAACACCACCATGCCCCCCGCCAGCCAGGCGGCACACTTTGACATCAATTCACCATCCAGCTCTCTGTCCAACTACGACTCAGCCAACTCCAGCCAGTTCAGCACTGGGGAGAAAAGGAGCAGCTTGACCACGACACGCGGGCCGCCAGCTCAGCTGAACACAGTCGCACACACAGGTCTGTGAGAACGAGTTATAAAAACATGAAGCTTTTAAACTTCAGACTACAATTTATTTTTAGTTAGGAGAACCAACAAGGGGACAATGAGTTTAGGCTTCTAAATGTTTAAATAATCATAATATTTCCACCATTCTGCTTCTTAAATGAAATACCAAAAACGCTAGATGAAAAATCCAATATTTGTACCCTCAAACTATTTTGATGATCTATTAATGGCTAAATACATTTCTATTTGTAAACAAGCTTTGCTGTCTTCAGTCATTTAGCTATACATTCTCAAATGCCATTTCTTGTACGTGCAACATATAGTATCTGAGCAATAGTGGAACGCCCTAGATATTTACTGAAGTAGAGCCAGCATGCAGCAGTTTGCACAGGTGTATAATATACTGGTGCTGCACCCTAGTGGTCTGCATGCAGATAGTTTGTTTGGATGAGAGGTGGACCATCATTAGAGTAACTCATGTTTCATATGTTTGAATGGTGCATTGGGAAAAGCAAACTGAGCAAATGTTTAAAGGGTTATGCAACACTTTGCTGTATTAAGTGGACCGTGTCTTCACAGGTGCATCAGAGTCAGCCATTTCAGACATGCAGGCGTATATGGACATGCTAAACCCAGACATAAGATCTGAAGTGACCAAGAAGAACGAGATACCTTCTGATGCCGCCTCCAAGCCCCCACCACCACCAACCTATCCACCCCCGCCTCCCCCACAGACCCCCCCGTCGCCTCCTCCACCCCCCAGCTTTCAAGCACCAACGCCCCCTAAGGAGCCGACATCAGCGGAGTTCCTGAAGGTGAAAAGCAACCTGCGACACGTGGACAGCAACACCAGCAAGACGGAGGTGAAGACAGAGTTTGTGCATGAGTTCAAAGGTTCTATGTGTTTTTTTGCAGCATATTATATACAGTGGGTGAGGTAATTGTTGCTCAAACATGCATAAATATTCCCAAGTTTGGGAAAACAAATTAAGAAGTATTTGCTGACTATTAAATGATGAGCAATATGGAACAATCCAAAAGAAGCAGAAGGATGGTGGTGTTTGGCCATTAGCTGCCATTTTCCCTTGTGTCTAATCAGTTGGGCTACTGCTCCATTCGGGCTATAGCTTTTGTGTAACAATGTTCCTTGTCTTGGTGCGTACAATGATGTTATTGTGTTAGAATGGTTAACGAGGCTAACAAAGATGCTCATTACCGTGGCAGGCCTGACACACACAATGGTTGTTGTGATGGGTCTGATCTTAATTCCAGTAATTAATCTGGCTACAGATCACTCAAAATTGTGATGCAGAGCTGACAATTAAATTGGCATCAACATTACTTTCAGTACTGCTGGTGGTTTAGTTCTGCTGTGAAGTACGTTATCATTTGTTGTTTAATCTTATTGATTTGGACAAAGAACACTACAATTTGGGGAAAAATAACCAATCCAAGAGATGACTTTCCCCTCATGAAAAACGTATTTCCTAGTTGTTACCAAGACTTCCAGTATGATAACAGCACATTTTCCAAATTATTATTGTGCCTAAATCAACCTAATTAAAGGTTTTCTGTAGGTAATTTTGGAGAAACCAGCTCGAATTTGAAAATACACAGCCGGAAAAAATCTGCCACTTCCTTACAGAGCCCCTCCTCCAACACACACGAACGCGCACATGACCAATGAGGGCACAAGATAAGTTTGTGCACAGATGGAAGGCTGACAGGCAGGTAGGCCATCCAGTTATTTTAGCCGGGCCGGCTAAAATGATTGGTCGTACTTTTTACAGTACTACGGCTTCCACAGATGAAATTTTTGTTATGGATTTTTTGTCAAAGCACTTAAGATATTCATTGCTATCGGGATGTTAAGAGCATTCCATGGAATATAACAAAAAGTGTATCTCGAGCCGGTTTCTCAAACTTACCTACCCCACCTTTAAGTCTAAAAACAGAACTACCGATGTAACAAGTAGACAGATGGGGGTGTCCAGATCAGGTTTCACATGCTACAAATAGGGGCCGTCCCCCTGCAGGGTCATTATGCATTAAGCACAGGCTGAGCTGAAGTGTAAGTCTACACACACAGAGGTTAAAGGACAATAACTTCTCTGCAGACATGAGTCAAGGTAAGACAGAGAAAAACTACTTTCACTTTATCGATAAGAGGTTCAAATGTTACTAGTGGAGTTTATGATCTGAAAGGGCAGTTTATCTTTATTTAACTTCACACAGTCAGACTTCCTTGGAGTGTCAAAGTCAAGTGTGAAATGTGATGAGCAGGAATGGACAACATTAGATATGACAGATCTCGAGGGTATCTGGGTTGAAGAATGTCTCTAATGATTTTTCAAAAAGTGTCTATTTAAGATACTTCTCAAAAGGCACTTTTATAGTTTTTGATAGTTTCCTTTGATCCTTCTTTCTTAACTTTCAATACTATCTGTACCATTTTTATTTAATTACTTTTATGTTTTACCTATTATTTTATTTTGTGTTTTATGGATAGTGCTATTGATCTTACATTTGTTTTAAAGATAAACGCTTTGTAGATAGAGGTTCACATTATTATTATTATTAAGTCTGATGTTCTTTTGACGTGTGTTTCATTTCTAATAGAGTTGACTAATTGAAATGTGTTTTACCGTCTCTACACACAGTTGTGGATATTGAGCGCTATGATCTTGACATTAAGAGAAACAGCAGCAGCCATCACACCGAGCAGTGTGGAAAGGAGCGTTTGATTGTAAGAAGGGGGCAGCCCTTCAATATCACCTTACACCTCAAGCCAGGCAGCAAAGAGTTCAAGCCGGGTGAAGAAAGCTTCACACTCATCGTTGAGACTGGTAAGCATCTTAATTACCAGTGATTACATTTAGCTCTACATGCTGATCTAAAGTACTGTATATCTGTTTTGAGGGATTTTGTATGCATGCATGAGAATTTATGTTTTTCACCTCTGGATTTAGTATCATTACATCTGTGTCCCTCCAGGTCCATTACCCAGAAAAGAGTCAGACACTAAGGCTACTTTTGATCTAAGCGACTCCACAGCAGACGATGAGTGGAGCGCTTCTGCCTCTTATGATCCCTCCGGAAACTCAGTGTCTGTCTCTATCAGCTCCTCGCCCAACGCCCCTATAGGGCTCTACTCTCTGACTCTGGACCAGGATGGGCAGAAGACCAGTTTAGGACAGTTCACCCTGCTTTTTAATCCTTGGTGCACCAGTGAGTACATATTTTCCCACATATGTATGATCCCAAACTGCAGCTGTAAAGCAGGAAATGTTGTAAGATTTGAAATGTTTGATTTGATGCAACTGGTCTAAATGTGTTGGTCTGTCTGTACTGACGAACAGGAGATGCTGTTTACATGCGCAGTGAGACGAAGAGGCAAGAGTATGTTTTAGCTCAATATGGGCTCATCTACAGGGGAGCAGCTACACGAATCAAGGGGAAACCCTGGAACTTCGGACAGGTACATGAAATGTCAAATGTTTCCCCTTCAATAAATGAGGTTAAAATGTTAACATCGGTTCAGGAGCATGGCCACGCCTAAAACTCGGCCTCAAACCACGGCCACCCCTATTTATATCCGGCAAAAGCTTCTGGCAACCGCTTGTCTCATCTTTCAAAGACTGACAGGCAGACTGTGATTCACGCTGCGCGTCGTCACGGTTCAAACGCAAGCAAACGCTACCACGAGAAATTCTACTCACCATGGATCCCGAACTGCTGATCAACTCGCCGGAGTCAGATGAAGATCTCTTCGACATCGGCTACCCGCCATCCTCGGGTCAGCAGACGGATCTAAGCCAAGCATCCGAACGGAGCCGCGTGCGCTCGGCAATCAGTGTCCCACACACCAGGCGCCACCGCTCCCACTCAAGCTCCCCCAACGAGATACCTCCAACTCCAGACAGGTCCCAGGCTTCGTCTACTCCGCCAGCGAGGGCAAACAGCCGGGGCCGCAACAGGCACAGCCAGCTCCAATCTCCCCACCACCGGCAGCCTGCCTCACTCGCAGCCCCCGGCCACTCGCAGCGGCGCACTCGACACGCCTCTCCGACGGAGCCGCGCTCCGAAACGGAGCCCGAACTACGGAGGTGGACAGTCATTCAACTTCAACGTTTCCTGAAGGAAAACGGCATCCACTTTCACCGAAATGACAACAAGGCTAGACTGTTCAACCTCTACAAAGTAGTGATGTGTCGGTCGCGAACGAGCCGATTCTTTTGAACGGCTCTTTGGTACGAACGAGGGGAACCGAGTCGTACTTGGTGAGAGCCGTTCTTGTTATCGTTCAATCGTTGGTCCGCACTCACTGCCTGCCAAAATCCACTCTCCTTTTAAAAAGCTTGATTTTGTTCCCCAAACGTATTCTGTGAAGACCCGCCCCTACTCTGTTTGGTAGGTTTCAGCACGAGGAGTGAGATGGGGTGGGTCTTAACGGAATACGCGAGAGAGAAGTCATACCAAGTGGTACAGGACAGGTAGACAACGTGTTTTTCGGATGGAAAATGAGCCAAACGCGAAAACGCAGCAGCATTTGGATTCACTTCAACCAAAACCCAGTCAGTGATAAAGCGCACCATTTGTAAAGGCAAAATATCCTTTAAAGCAGGATCAACAAATAATCTCCATCGCCACTTAAAAACACAGTATCTAATATTAAGAGTTGCATGAATTTCATTCAAGGCAAGGCAACTTTATTTACTTAACACATACAGAGGGTAAATTCAAAGTACATTCACTGACATGATGACATGGATATGGCGCCACCTTGTGTCATGTTTACAATGCCGATTATTGACATTAGGTCTGGCAATACAGTCAATCATTATCCTGGTGATTATTTTGCAGATAAACCTAGTAACCTTAAAAAAACGGCTCTTTTGAACGGCTCTTTTGAACGGCTCTTTGAAAGGAACGGAGCCATAAGATCCGGCTCCCTTCAAAGAGCCATAATTCCCATCACTACTACAAAGCCTACAGCAGCACAACGGCAAGAACAACAACACACACAGCTCTTCCCGCTCCAGAGTCAACCACGTGCGCGCACCACGGGTCGTGACGTCACAGGCATCCGCCCTCCCCACGGACACAGCCCGACCCACCAGCACCCCCTGGCGGGGGCCAGGCTGTATTGCCCTCTGTGCCTGCTCTCTCTACCCATTCACACCAACGGTGTTTCGGGGCCGGTTCGGTGCTGGTGCTTGAAAAGCACCGGGTTTTCCTGTTCACACCGCAGCGGAGCAGCCTCTAAGCTCCGGAATCCGGTTCGTTTCGAGCACCAAAAAGTTGTCCGTGTAGAAGCAAGAACCGCTAACGTCGGAGGGGGGCGAGATTAACCTGAGCTAACAGTTAAGGCGAGTACGGCAAATAAAAGTTGTAACCAGCAGTAGTGCTGAGCAAAGTGACTAGAACGCAACCACACACTTGTAAAAAAAAAACACGCTTTATAAAGTCAGGCAACACTAACCAGGCTTCGTGTGATTCTGTTTATTTGTACCTTACTTTGACCATCCGTTCGCTGTTATTGATCATTGTGGAGAGCAGGCAGACGTTTTGTTTGTTATTATAGCACCTATCGGATGGAATCAATACAGGTTGTCATGTCCGACTATCACAAGTAGAATCATAATGAAAAATACGCCGGTAAAAAGTGCCTGTATAAAACGGCTTAGCAAGTAGTCAGTTTAGCTTCGGTTGCTATGCTAACATCACCCATGTTATACCAGAGAAACTTTCATAACAGCGTTGTGATGCCAAACAGCGTCAATTCAGACTGACACACATTCACTTAAGGGGAACTGGGGATATGTATCAGCTGCTTGTGTGACAGTAGACAGTGAATACTTTAGAGCCGTGTGAGCTAACCCGGAGCTAACGGGAGAATAAACTCCCGTTGAAGAGCAGTCAGCACTGCAGCGGTCGGTAAATGCCGCTGAAACACATTAATAAACAATGAACCACGGCACTCTGGAGAAAAGTATAAGGTTGGAGAAGTCGTTATTTAATTTAATCTGGCTTCGTATGATTAAAAGCAACACGATCATCGACCCGACACAGTCCCCGGCCCGTTGTTGTTGTGAGGTGAGCTCCGTTGGGGAGAAACTCAGCGACGTAAACTGTGACGTCATGACGCAGCAGCGGCAGCACCAGTCGGGCTCTGAGCGGTGTGAAAAGAGCCGGCGCTAAACCGAAGAACCGGTTCTGAACCAGAAGAGCTCTAGCACGGAGCTAGAAGGGGAAAAGCCTTGGTGTGAAAGGGGTGAGTGTCTGACATGTCGCAGCTCATGTCAACCTTTCTCTCATCCCTGCGCTCACAGGCTTCACAAAATCCCCTTGCACATACATCCCTTCATCCCCCTCCCCCTCCCCCCATCCCTACCCCCATCCCTTCCCCAACACCCAAATGTTTTTTCCTCCCTGTGCAACCAGCTACACTCTAGCCACAGCAGCACCACCCATCCAGCCAGCCTCCTCAGTCTATCGCCCTGCCCTCTGTGTCACAAAATTCCCGTGCACATACATCCCTTCATCCCCCCATCCCTTCCCCAACACCCAATGTTTTCCTCCCTGTGCAACCAGCTACACCCTAGCCACAGCTCTCTCTGACCCTCGCAGTGAGCAGACGCTCCGGTCTCTCTCTCTCTGACCCTCGCAGTGAGCAGACGCTCCGGTCTCTCTCTCTCTGACCCTCGCAGCGAGCAGACGCTCCGGTCTCTCTCTCTCCAACCCTCACAGCGAGCAGACGCTCCGGTCTCTCTCTCTCTCCGACCCTCGCAGCGAGCAGACGCTCCGGTCTCTCTCTCTCTCCGACCCTCGCAGCGAGCAGACGCTCCGGTCTCTCTCTCTCCGACCCTCGCAGCGAGCAGACGCTCCGGTCTCTCTCTCTCCGACCCTCGCAGCGAGCGACGCTCCGGTCCCTCTCTCTCCGACCCTCGCAGCGAGCAGACCCAACCTAACATTTATGGCATCAACGTATTTTCCCTTAGAGCGTAACGGAGGCCCGGTTCTGGGCAAACCGCGCGTGCATCATTCTAACCCCTCAACGTAATGTTTAGTTGGATTTAGAAGTGAAGATGTAGTCACTCGTTCCGGGCACGTTATCTTCAAGCCACACGTTTCTGGTCCAGAAACACTTTCAGAACATCCCGCACATTTTGGGGGCACTCTCAGAATTAGAGACATTTCTCCCGCATTGGCGCAGCGTCCACAGCAGCTAGACCAGGCATCTCTCTCGTCATCCCAAGCGTACCACGCTTACATCCGCAACAATCTAAATGACGTCTGACATCCACACGCTTAAGTCAGCTGCTTTTAATCCGACTCTTTTGGGGGACCGTAATCAGCCCACGCAGATCATGCCGGAGACGGAACCCCCACTCTGAGTCTCCCACTGCACGGACCATAGCTCGTCCTCCCAGATCATCTCTTCACCCCCCTCATACCCTTCACATGTTACTTCAATACACATACAAACATCACACTGTTGTGGCGTGGTTCTTGCTAGTGAAATGAGGTTAAAATGTTAACATAGGTTCAGGAGCATGGCCACGCCTAAAACTCCGCCTCAAACCACGGCCACCCCTATTTATATCCGGCAAAAGCTTCCGGCAACCGCTTGTCTCATCTTTCAACCCACCCTCCCTCACCCTTCTACCCATACAGTTCCCCTTCCGACTCACACCGAGCGATACATCCATCCCTCCCTCCCCTCAACATCCCTACATCCCTTCATCCCTCATCCCTACATCCCTCATCCCTCATCCCTACATCCCTCATCCCTCATCCCTCCATCCCTCATCCCTACATCCCTCCATCCCTACATCCCTCCATCCCTCATCCCTCCATCCCTTCATCCCAACATCCTCTGCCCATCACCATTTATATCTAAACGGTGCATATCTATATACTGCGTATACTAACATTAAACTCCAGGTATCGTCTGGGGGACCGTAATCAGCCCACGCAGATCATGCCGGAGACGGAACCCCCACTCTGAGTCTCCCACTGCACGGACCATAGCTCGTCCTCCCAGATCATCTCTTCACCCCCCTCATACCCTTCACATGTTACTTCAATACACATACAAACATCACACTGTTGTGGCGTGGTTCTTGCTAGTGAAAGTTCAGTAAACTTTACAGAGGCTTTGTAATCTCTAAATGCTTCTTTTAGAGGCTGCCAGAAATCCTTACATGCTGCTCCACTCACACCTTCTCTTCTGATTGTTTGTCCGTCTGTAGTTTGAACCAGGAATACTGGATATCTGTCTAAAGATCCTGGATGATAACCCCAAATTTATCTCTGATGCCGACAAGGACTGCTGTGCCAGGAGGAATCCCATCTATGTGACCAGGGTGCTGAGTGCTATGGTAGGATGTGTCCAGGCTTCAGTGACTCCCTGTGGGCGACATTTAACCAGCCTGTGAATAGCCTTTATTTCAGCTGTGCAGTACATAAAGATTACCATGGTGAACCACATACACCTCTGTGTGCTGCTTTATACTCAGAGTGTTATATTATCCTGCAGGGGTGGGGACAAAGAGGAAACCCCCCTGCCTCTTTGGAAAGGTTCTCGTCACCCGTGGCAACTTTTGTGATAGAAAGATGCAGGATAGAAAGGAGTTTTAATCTTCCTGTGCGGCTTTGATTTCAAGGTGATTTCAAAGAGCAGTAAAACAGATACATTATAGTCTGTTGCCGTGTTATTTTCTGCTCAAGTCAAAAAAGCTAAATTAGGAAACCAGGGCTATTTCTGCTTGTCTTGTGGTTGTCACCAAATAATAAATCAGTACCAGGTTTCAGATTAACTGTCACACTAAATTTAAGTTACCTAAGATAGTGAGGATGCACTCGTGCAAACAATAAAAACACATTTTCCTTGTAAAATTCACCTTCTTTTTGCTTTAATTAGTTCACTCTTATTGTTAGTATAGAGAATTGTGTACTCTGATATATCAGTACAAACGTGCATCCTTTAATACAGCACGGATATAAGAGATCCTTCTCTTTGTGCCTTCCCTCTGGATCTATGAAGGAAACTCATTTTCCACATATTTTTATAATGAAAAAATGTGGGATTTGCTACGTACACGTCCCAGGGAATAATGGCAGATTATCTGGTTGACCTTGTATTATTTTATTAAATGATTACTAATTAATATGTTTTTTATGGCTGAGAGCCGGGAATAGCAGTGGACGGAGTCATATTTTGTACTGATTGTCCGTTCCACTCTCGTGAACGCAATATATGAGGAACGGCTCGAGGGAATTTAATACGATTTTGCACAGATGTCCAATTAGTAGCGAGGAGTAATTGGTTAGAATTTGGTTCTCAAAGGTCCAATTTCAAGGTCATTGAGACCTCACACAAATAGAAAAATGATAAAGTGATGGTCAATCTATTTCTTTAATGTTTATGTAATCTGACATGATCAGATCTCTATCTTGGAGCCTATCTTGTCATGATGGATGTGTGGAGAAATATGATATTAATAATAAGGAGTCCTTAAGAGATCTGAGGGCATACTGCTTTAAAAAACAAAAACTTGGTGTTTCAACATATTGTGTTGCTGTCACTTGACAAAATGTAAATCTTTGGGAACATTTTCATTATCTCTTTCTATCCCTCTTTTGTCTCCCTCCTCTATCTGTACCCTCAGATCAACAGTAACAATGACAGAGGTGTGCTGGTGGGAGAGTGGCAGGATTTTACAGGTGGGGTTCATCCAGGAAAGTGGATCGGCAGCGGGGACATCTTGCACCAGTGGACAGAAAGTGGCCCCGTCCGCTTCGGACAATGCTGGGTCTTTGCTGCTCTTGCGTGCACAGGTTGGTGCACATTATGACGCGCATGGGAGTCATTGTTTGACTGTCGGTGGATTTGGTCATATATTGAGTGACACATTCTGGTACATCCTAGTCAGGACTCACATTTCATGTTGACATCATTGGTTTCAACATGAAATGCATCAACTTCCACTGCTATGCTGACGACACCCAGGTCTATATCAAAACACAACCCAACCCCACCAATACTATCTCCACCCTAAACACCTGCCTGGAAGACATCCGCTCCTGGATGACTGACATTTTTATCGCTATCTCTGACTTTACATTTTTAACTGAATTCTTTTTTCTTTTTTTTTACTTTTTATCTCTTACATTTTATCAGTGTCTTATGTTGTGAAGTGCTTCGGGATTTGTCTTGGCAGATGAGTAGCGCTATATAAATTCATTATTATTATCAGGTAACACAGAAACATTACCCCGACTTCTGTTGCATTTGTTTCTTAGACACACCATCTATTTCTTCTTAATAACGTCCTCCAGTACACTTCCGCTGCCATGCAATCCCTAAAGTTAGAATCTAGTCTCTTGGCTTTGAAGCTGTCTACCTCCTGAGACATGTTTATGTGATGTTTTAATTGTGAGTCTTTGATGACGTTTGCTATGTCTAGAATGTGCTTTAGTCAGCTGCTCTGATGAAGTGTGACTCTTCTCCATCCTCCAGTGTCCCGGGCCTTGGGCATCCCATGCCGAGTGGTTACTAACTTTGGATCGGCTCACGACTCTGACGCCAACCTGATGATAGAAAACCTGTATGATGAAGATGGTGAAAGAATGTCAAATGGTGATTCGATATGGTAAGGGTTATTACCTTAAATACATGCATAACCACAACTGTCATTTATTTTTCCATGATCACATGTACTTGTGATTTTTCCACATTCAAGTAACAGAATCCTTTATCTTACCAGGAACTTCCATGTGTGGGTGGACAGCTGGATGACTCGTCCTGATTTGGGGACAGACTTTGATGGCTGGCAAACCAGTGACCCTACCCCACAGGAGACAAGTGATGGTAAACTCTTATTTTGATGTCCAATTGTTTGACTTGTTTCCCAAAAAGTCCCATATATAAGACTAAGGACTGCCTTGGCAGACCAAATACTGAACAAAAACATACATCATGAGGAATACCTCCAACCATAACTGTATTGGAAGTGCTACAAAGATAGGTCATAGTCAATGGCATGCCTAGTCACATTTTTAACCATGGAGGTTTCAGTTGTGTTGTTGTGGCCAAACCTTCATATGACTAATCTTGAGACTTCTTGAAACAGTAAAAAATAAGTGATAGATCCCGCCTCACCAAAAATGTAATACGTTGTTTATGCTTTTGATTGAGTTTTTCTATATTTTGAGAACCAAGTTTAAATGTCGAGAATAAAGTATAAATGTTGATAAAAAGGAAAATGATTTATATTTATATTTTTTGAGAATACAGTCGACATTTTGAAGATGAACTCAACATTACAAGAAGTCACAACCAGTGTTAGAGCATATTCTGAAAGTTTGACTTCAAAGTTTGACTTGAATGACTTGCGCGGCCTGAATCCTTGCATTGTGTCTGACTCTGTCTCTGGATGTGTGATGCCATCAGGTGTTTTCTGTTGCGGACCGTCCTCTTTGAAGGCCATCAGGGAAGGAGAGCTGACAAAGAAATATGACGCTCCCTTTATTTTTGCTGAGGTAAGTTTTCGCTATTGGCTGTAATAGTTTTAATCAATGACTGTTGACAAATGTCTTTATGTTCACTGATGGTCATCTCACGCCGTGTGTTGGGTCAGGTTAATGCTGATGTTGTGGACCTGGTACGCCTGTCAAGTGGAAAGTTCGTACAGTTTAGTGGATCAACTAAATCTGTTGGACGGTACATCAGCACCAAAGCTGTGGGCTCGGATGATAGACACGACATCACACACCAGTACAAGTATCCAGAAGGTACTGCTGTGTCACATGTACACAGACACACTCGAGACTCTAAACACAGAATCACAATGTATTTTTTAAATAAATATCAAACTGTTTAAATGTAGAATACCCCAACTACCTCAATTTGAGAATGCAATCTTGTCGCATTTGAAGTGAAAAGCCTGTTTTTGACCCAGGAGCTAAAACACTGTTTCATTACCTCTGATGGTTTTCAGGCTCAAAGGAGGAGAGGCAGGTGTATGAGAAGGCTCAGCATCACAACAATCTACTGCAGCGAGGAGAAGAGCCGGGGCTCCATCTCAAGGTGTCATTTTTCAACCGCTTGTACATTATAGTACATTACATCTCACTTGTTAGACGCTTTTACCCAAAGTGACTTGCATACATTCAATACTGAGGGCAGTCCCCAAATTATTTTTATTTGGGGTGAAGTGTCTTGCCCAGGGACACAACGACATGCTGACTGTAGTGGGGATGGTCGAAGATAAATAATAATACATTTCATTTATATAGCACACTTTAAAAACAACGTCATCTCAAGGTGCTTCACAAAGAGCAACACACTAGACCACTGAGCCACAGCCTCCCATCTATACATACATACATGCATACATGCATACATGCATACATGCATACATACATACATACATACATACATACATACATACATACATACATGCATACATACATACATACATACATACATCATAGAAAATAACTATAAACATGTGCATAAATTGTACATCAAGAGATGTCACCATTTATGTATATGAACGTTTTTAAAGCAGCAGAAAATAAAGTATCGCCAGGTTCAAAAGTTGAAATATATTTAATTTAGTATCCCTTATAGAAAGATATACATCAATGGTGGGTGGTATTTATACCAAATGAATTGTGTCTATGCTGCATCAGCTTTGAAATGAATAAACAGTTTTATCAGCATATTCTTTTCCAAGGATCAAAGAATCATCATTTTCAACATCATTCACAACTAATTCCTGTTCATTAAAATATTGAGATTTATGTTATTCTTATGTCCTTATTATACAATGAATGACATTTAAAAAATCCTATAACTCTCATTTAAGATCAAACTGGCTGATAACATGATAGTGGGCTCGGACTTTGAAGTGCACGCTGTCCTCACCAACAACTGCGTGGACGCGAGGATCTGCACCTTCCTGTTCTTCGCCAAGGCTGTCGGCTACAACGGAAAACTGGGAGACGGCTGCGGATTCACTTCAGACAAAGTGGAGGTGCCCTCTGGAGAAGGTCAGGGAACACAACAAGTCACAAACCCTGGTGTAATTGCATAAAAATAGTATACCCATAAGGTATGTTGTGATTTTTACAGAAAGGCGCATGTCCCTCAGACTGGAGTATGAGCGTTACGGATCAGCGATCACCTCCGACAGGTTGATCCAGGTGTCAGCCATCACCATCGACAAGCAAATCACAAATTACCATAAGGCTGAGAAGACCATCGTGCTGGACGAGCCAGAAATACACATCAAGGTACGGGCAATGCACAGGTGAAAGACCTGTATTCCAGATTCACATTTTATAAAAACTAAATATAAATAAATAATTTTGAGTAGCTTGAGTTGCAAGATTTCAGCATACATGAACTTAAAGTACAGCAGATATTTAATAATAATACAAAAAAAATCCAATTTGTTTTTATCCTGTAAAGAAATGTTCTGTAGCTTAAAGGGTTAGGCTACACATGCATTTTGTTGTGCAGTCGTGTGTGAATGAAAACATATTATCCTTGAACCCTTGTATACATTGTTTACATAAGATAGTACAGTTTAGAAAGCCACAAATCTTTTAGAGTTAATGTTAAATCATTCTGATTCAGCTTTGAAGCCTTTACCATAAAGCATTACAATGTATAACAGGACATTAGAAAATAAGTGAAATCCCAAACTTACGCTTTTTTCAAATGTCAGGGGGGAATTGAACCTTGAAATGTGATTCTGGTAGCTTTGATTGCAGATCGCAGAATAGTTTATATTCAACTAGAAATCCCTGTCATTATTTATTGCCCCCAGGTACTTAATTACATGATTTTAATTATGTACAACCCTATACCACCTCTCACATTATGAAACCTGTATCTGAACCCCTCTCTGCAGCTGTTGGGAGAGGCCACAGTGAGGCAGAGTGTGACGGCCTCACTGACCCTCCTGAACCCTCTCCCAGAGCCCCTGCAGGACTGCAGCTTCACCGTGGAGGGGGTCGGCCTCACTGAGGGCAAACCCCTAACAGCCAGGTAAGTCGACTACATCATAACTGTTTTCAGCAGTTTAATGCTTCAAATATTGATTTGAGCTTTTCTGTTTTTTCACCTCATGGCTTTACTTGTAATTCATGTTAAGGTTTATTTAAATGTTAAAGTACTAGATGGTGTTTGCGCAAAGCTTGTACAAAAACACCCCAAAGCCATAGTGTCCTTCTCCCTAAAAACTGTTACTCAATGATTCTTGTTTCAGTGCAAAAACCTTTTGGTACAGTACAATACAAGATGATGTTCAGTGATCTGTGGGATATATTATGTTGGATAACATTTTTTGTCTGGCGATGTTCATGTTTATTGTCTGTGATTCCGGCAGGATTGAAGCTGTGGGCCCCAAACAGGAGGCCAAGGCCAGCTTTGAGTTCAGTCCCACCAGTGCGGGCCCCTGTGTGCTGCTGGTTAACTTTGATAGCGACAAACTGAAGAATATCATGAGCTCCATCAATGTTGTTGTGAAAGAATCAGCCAGTACAGAAGCCAATACAGTCTAATGCCTTTTTTTTAAGCCCCTTATATATCCACATATTGTCCTAGGATTTGTTGTTATAATTTCCAAAATCATTAATTTCATGATGAAATACAATGATCCACATCCACTAATCATTATGTACAGTGCTTCCTTAGTAAGCCTTAAAACTATAATATTTTGACATTAAGAAATTAACTTCACTTAAATAATTAATAACGTAACATATTAATTTGTATTTGGTCACATTTAAATGAAAACATTTTGTTATTGGTAAAAACAATTTCCGATAAGTTAACAAATGTTTTTTCAATATACAATGTTTTGAGGCTTGGGGTGTGTTTGTGTAATTGCAGTGTGAAAATAAATGCCATGTCACATAATGCCTTGTGGTTCATGGAGCTGATTTTACTGACATTACATCATTTTACGGTAATATGTCTATTATGATGACCAAAGTTTTGTATCAAACTTATTTTCATTTTCAAAATTGATACCTTTAACCATATTGCTATATAGAATATATACTGTATATTTCTATGGAGCTGACATCACCTAGTGTTTGTGTAACACATATGAAATACTCATGAAGGCTCATGCTAAGTCACTTCCAAGTCTCATTTGGACTGTTTTTTTGTTGTATTCAGATTTATCTCAAGGTGAAATGTTTGGGGTTTTTTCACTGTACATCTGGGAGATCAAAGTTCTTATAAACTTTTGCCTTTAGCTGACAATTTGTCACACAACTGAAAATATGTTAATACTAGAGTAAAAGTAGCACTGCTGTAGTTTGATGCACACATTTATTTCACAACAACACAGCTCATAGTCAGATGGAAGTCATCATTCCACCTCGCGCTCCTCCACCTGGGAGAGTGTCACAGAGTGATGAGGTGAAGCGTACTCGGCCAGGTTGGGCAATCCGTGCACCACGCAGCAGCTCAGGGCGCTGCCGGAGGTCTCCAGGTCTCGAGCATCAGACCACTCACCCGTTTCAACATCGAAGCACTCGACGGCACGGACAGTGGAGGAGCCGTTGAAGCCCCCGACCACAAAAACACGGTCATCGATCAACGCGATGCCGAAGTTGCTGCGGCAGCTCAGCATGGAGGGAACAGCATGCCAGGTGTCCGTTTCTGGGCTGTAGGCCTCAGCAGAGCGCAGACGGCTGGTTCCATCAAAGCCACCAACCTTTAAAGAAAATGGGAAATGTGAGGTCAGGACTGCGTCTATTTTTCTGTTTCTGTTGTCCTACCTTATAGTTGATATTTTTGCAAATATGTTTTTATTTGAGAACATTTCTGCCATAAAAGGACTTTTTTCTGTTTTATTTGAGTATAGTCAGTGCTTAATGTGCTTACTGCAAAGACACGGTCTGCATAGGTGACGACCCCCACTCCGCTGCGCCAACTGCCCATGGAGGCGATCAGGGTCCACTGGTTGCTCTCTGGGTCGTAACATTCAGCCGTTGACAGGCAGTAAATTCCATTGAAGCCACCGCATACGTAAACCTGGAGGAAATGAAAGTGATAAGGAATCTGAAGGCAGGAATTCCAAAAAATTGACCTAGTGTCTCTTACAAAGTGTTTTTATAGACTAAAGGCTATTTTCTCACTACTGGGGAGCAAACTAGCCTGTTATAGGAGAGAAAAATAAACAACACTGCATAATATGAGGATCGTAAAGTATTGAATAAATACTTTTTTGGCATTTGTTTTTAGGCTTGATAACAATATTCATTTGGATAATAATCTAGTGAGGCTTGTTAAACATAAATATAATTTGTTTTCTTTAGCTCCGCCCACCTTGCCATGGAGGGCTGCACTGCTGGCATCACTTCTCTCCTCGTGCATGGGCGCAATTAAGGTCCACTGGTTGGCTCTGGGTTGATAGCGTTCAACAGTATTGTGTCGATCCTCTCCATCGTAACCTCCCATGGCATATATGAACCCGTCCATCACAGTCACAGCGACAAAGCAGCGTCTCACATGCATCTGTGCCACCTTCTGCCAGGTGCGCGTCACCAGGTCCAATCTGTGGACAGAGCTGAGCCGCACCACTCTGTCAAAGCCACCGACACAGTAAACCGATCCATCGAGGAACACCGTGCCATGGTAGGCCCGGGGACCCCCCTGGGTGCTGGTGACATTGACCCAGCGGTCAGCACGGACATCGTACGCCTGGATGGCGTTGGTGGGCACTCCGCCTTTCCAGCCTCCAACAGCCAACATGATGGCATAGGGCAGTCGTGGGCGGCCCAAAGGGTTGTAGTGAATAGAATCAAAGTAGCTCATGGTTCGGAGGTCTAGCATGGCATTCAGGGTCCTGAGGATAATGGGTTCACAATCTTGACATTCCTTCACCAATGGGTTGTTGTTGACGCTTTCTATGAAGTTGTCTGGACTCATTAAAGCCAACCTGACCTAGAGACATGAGGAGAGAAGTTTGATTGACATGTTCTCTAATCCATAATTCAAAAGTTATGTCATGGTGATTTAGTGATTCCCCACTTACTTTGGGCAAAAGAAGAGAGATGTATTGTCTGCGTTCCCCAGTTGAGTAGGAGATCCAACCAAGGATGGCCTTAAACACAATTTTCTCCTGCTTTACATTGAGTCTGTCATCCCCAATGATTTGACTAAGTTCTTGTGCAGAGAGCTGCATGAACTCTTCTGAGGCGGCAACAACTTCCTCAAAGTGATTTAGCGTGAAAAGGAAAGCCTTGTTCTTCATTTCAGGGGTGTAGTAGATGTCTGTGAACTTCATGATGCCGATGCAGTTCTGAGGGGTCAGCTGCTGCTCCAGGAGGTCACAGCAGGCTCGTACCACGCCCATTACATTGTACCGGTCTGCTGCTATAAAAAGCTCCTGCACATTTTCTTGTGTGACTGTAACATATTCAGTGTAGGCAAACTCAATTAAGAGCTTCATCACGTCAGCGGACACATTGGGAAAGTCAAACGCCTGATAGTCTGGAGTTGACCAGCGAGTAAACAGGACCCTACGAGGCAGGATGGAGGCAAAACAAGGTTATCTTTTTAAATGGTCTTCTCATAAAATAATAATATAAATATAAACCTCATATATCACTTTTCAGAATCAGATCAGAATACCTTTATTCGTCCCACAGAGGGGACATTTACATTTGTTCCAGCAGAAAAAGTGCCAAAGACAGCTTAATGTTTAAAAAGAAGTAGGTATAAAAAACTGAAAAAAATATTAAAGATAAAATAAATGTTTTTAGATAAGTTTAAAAAAAGAATTACACAATTTACAAAATACAAAAATACACAGCCTGTAACCGTTCTGAAGATGTAGTATCCATATTGCACAGTTATTCACTGAATATATATATATATATTGCACATATTGCACATGGTTGGTGTTTAACAACAAGGGGTGTAATAGTCTGTGTTGTTGTATGTGTGGGGGGGGTCTACTAGGGGCTGTGCTGGTTGTATTACAGAATAACAGGAGAGGTCATTCACTGTACAGATGGGATGGCATTTGAAATGTAATTTCTTTCTCTTTTTGCTCAAATGATGCCCTTAATACTGTGTATATAGTCGTATTTTTCTCATACTGATATTCTGAACAAACTGTGCTGTTGTATTAGCTGTAAAAATGTCTTTACTGTAGGGTATTTTTATTATTTGTACAGCAATTTGGCTCGACCAAAAATCGTTTATAAATGTGCTATATAAATAAAACTTGATTTGATTTGATTTGAATTCAGTGTTGTGTTATACCAGCAACACACACAGTCTCAATTTATTTACGCATGAATATAGGAAATCACAAATTCAACTGAATAGTCATACTGAAATTATTTTTAAACTATTTGTTAATCAGTGTATAAATGTCCTATTAAATACCATCATCATCATCATCATCATCATCATCTGCACAAAAAAAAATCCTAATCCAAAAGAAAAATAAGCTTTTACATGTACTATATGCTTAAGGGTAAATTTGAGAAACCGGCTTGAGATACACTTTTTGTTATATTCCATGGAATGCTCTTAACATCCCGATAGCAATGAATATCTTAAGTGCTTTGACAAAAAATCCATAAAGAAATGTCATCTGTGGAAGCCGTAGTACTGTAAAAAGCACGACCAATCATTTTAGCCGGCCCGGCTAAAATAACTGGATGGCCTACCTGCCTGTCAGCCTTCCATCGGGGCACAAACTTATCTCGTGCCCTCATTGGTCATGTGCGCGTTCGTGTGTGTTGGAGGAGGGGCTCTATAAGGAAGTGGCAGATTTTTTCCGGCTGTGTATTTTCAAATTCTAGCACACTCGAGCTGGTTTCTCCAAAATTACCTACCCCACTTTTAAGTGTGGCAATTTACTTTATATTTTAGTGCAAACTCAATAAACTCAACCATTCTTTTAAAATCTTCTTCTGTTTTTAATGTGTGAATATATCTTCTCTATGATGTCACTTATTAATATTAAGTTGTGTTGCAGTTTGTTAAAGGTCTCCTATTATACTGTTTTTCATCAATATATTATAGGTCTCAGATATATACAAACATGTCTCTGAAGTGTTTGGCTTGAAATACCAAACAGATCACCCATTGTAGCATCCCATAATCCCCTCTGTTTCAGCTCTGTTTCAAAAGTGCTGATTCTCTGTCTGTTACTTTAGATGAAAATAAGGAGCCACTCCCCACGCCCCTCTGAGAGATATTTGGTCAGAAAGAACACAATGGTGCTCTAGGAGGAGATTCAGGTGATAAGGTGGTGGGGGGGGGGGGTACCCTGATTGGTTATTGGCTAATTGTTACACAAGCCAAACAATCGTTATGACATCATAAAGTGGCCAAAATCTGATCAGCTCATTTCCAGACAGGTTTTTATATAAATGGATCAGGACAAAAAGAGAGAGAATCTTTTTTCCTGAAACTTTCAGAGTCTCTTTACACAGAGGGGACACATGCTTATGTATAAAGACATGAAAAGGTGCATTTTGCACAATAGGTGACCTTTAAGTTCTCTTTGCTAAGCCTGCTGCTGTTTTTCTGCTTATTGAAAGTATAACTCTAGTACCCCTCTGTTAACACCCAATAAGGAACTCACTGAAAGAACGGGCTGCAGTTGCAGAGGATGATCTTGTGCACGTGAAACTCAACGTTCTCCACTCTGATCACCGCATCACAAAGCTTTTTTTCAAGACGCAGCTCGTTGTACACGGTCATCTTTGCCCTTCAGTAGGAGAACTTCTACACTTTAAATCTTCAGTGCAAGTTGTGCTCTGGGCTCTCAACCAATGACTCTCCTGAATCTTCTGAGGGTGTAGACTGCTTCACAGGGTTCTAGAATGGGTCATATGTAAACTCACAGAATCTCAACCAGGTTCCAAAGTTCTATGTGGTTCCCATGGTAACAAATGTTCTGTTATCAAGGTCTTTTTTTTAAATGTACAACATATCTGAAAACACAACATACTTTATAACAATGAACAAATAAGACACACCTCTTTTTATTGGATTTCAATGCTTCTTCTATTTTAAATGATTATCTGTATTAACAAAATCTGCAAATGGCATATGTCCTAAGGTATCAGCTGCACACAAAAAACATACAAATATTTATCAATTGGCCTATAATATTCATATAAAATAGAAGGTGGTATACAATCTAAAGAATGAGGTGTGTCTAGTGTAGAAAATATATGTGGAATAGATTTAGAGTCAATGAGCACATGACATGGGAGCTATTTAAATGAACTGAAATGCCCTATTAAAATGGTATAATCCACTCATAACACATCGGTAATGAAACCCCAGATGAATTCAAGGCTGAACCAAACAACAGGTCAAAGCTTCCTCTGTTCACTGTTCTTTACTCTTTAACATTTCACTTTAACAAGCCACAGGAAAGTTCATCTGACATAAAAAAAAAAAGTCCCAAATATCTGTTCTGTGCTGCTGAAGATGATGTGAGTGAGTTTGACCTGCTGTTTGATATTCTGGTTCCAGAATAGTCTTCCAGAGCATTTGAAGCAGCAATTCTCCCCCAGGCGTGTTGCAGCAGCAAATGTTATCTTCTTCAACTTTAGAAAACACTCACCTCAGCGGCAGCAGGAGCCATGATCAGGTTCTTAACTTGTAACAAAAAGAGAAGCTCGTCTAAGTAAAAAAAACTCTGACCTTTTTTATTTACGTTTATAAAAATTATCAAATGTTTTTCTGTATACAGACAAGTTAAAATCAAATATGAGCTTGACATTGATACATATTGCCTAGGACTTGGCAAAATAACTGTTCAGAAAATGATTTGGAAAGGACTTGCTTTTCCTGACACAATCTCAGGGGTTTGTAATATTAATGCTTTGTCTCCTCATCAACACACCTGAGAAATGAAGTGCAGTAAATGTGTTGCTACTTCTCTGTACGTCTACACACAGGTAGGACTGAGCAATACGTATACATTCATATTAATCCTTTTAATATTGTATGTATTAAACACTTCAGAATGTAGCTGCAGAATGTTAGCTTTAATCTATTTCACATAGCAAGAGACGCCTGTTTGAGTTGTATAACAAAACACTTGTTGTGGTACATAGAATATCTTCTTTTTCATCTTGAATGTATTATATTTCATACTGCCCACTCCTCACAAACTAAACCTGGATAATTCTTCTCACCTTGTTGGCCTCTTAAGAAGATATTGTGTTTTTCTAATGGTATCGTGTCATAGATTTAAAGACCAGGGAGGTTACTGGAAAGAAAACAATGTTTTGAATTGTTTCCTCAAACTTCCAGGATTTATTTATAAAAATTAAACCTTGTCTAGTACACACTTATTACATAATTACCATTATTCAAGCTTCTGTCCAAATGAATATATGAAAACAAATATTGACTTGGAAAGTTTTAGTCTGTAAACGAGAAAAAGCTTTCAATCAGGGACAGGAAAAACAGAGCAGGACTATTGACTCTAACTATGAGGACAAAACATGAAGTCTCTGTGTCTATGAAGTATTACTGAAATGACAGTGCTGATGCTGTTGACCGCTCGTGAAGCAAACAGAAAGCAACTTACACTGAACCCAATCTGACATCTTCCCTAATTTTACACACGCATCAAAACCCCCTACGGGTCGATAAAAAACGACAAACTTAATACCCCAAAAATAAAACTAACAAATGGTAAATCCTCTTCACAGTGTAACCTCTGAGAGGTTTGAGAGCAAATGGCCCACCTTTGCTCACTGACTCCACAACATACCACACAGAAAGACACTTTTGATTGACAGCCAAACTGTATGTCTATCGATGCTTCTTCTTAACCCAGCCCCTCCTCATAGAGCCCAGACATTTCCAGCGTTAAATACAAAATAAAAACAAACAGGAAGCAAACTCATTCTAAGCTGGTGGAGTGGAATCCTTGTTGATCGAGAAAGTGCCGGAAGAATCCAGGCTGACAGAGTCTCTGTTCTCCTCTGCAGAGTGTTGTGGTTTAACCAAATGTTGCTTCGAGTGTCCCTGCCTCCCTGTTGTCCTGCAGGTCAGGAGTCAGCAGGTGAGATGTGTCCACACGTGTCCTCTGGCTGGTGACACAGCTGGAAGTGTTCTGTGAATCATACGGGCGGCTGGGTTTGGTGGGGAGAGGCGTGGGGGTAGTTTGTCTGGACCAATGCCTCTCAGTCGTTCGAGAAGAGGTCTCCGGCCGAGGGCAGCGGGGCCAGACCCCCCGTCACGTTGGGAAGGAGAGACAGGTCAGGGAGGCTCTGGATGTGGGACTTTAGCTCTTTCCTAACTTGGGTCACCCTCGCCAGCTTCTGCTTATACTCCTGCGGAGGAGGAGAGGACATAGAATAGATTACAGTTACTGCAACATCAACATGTTTTTCAATTCAAACACAATTGTCCCAGAATGTGGATATAAAAGATAATTAAAGTCACTCAAAGTTTATTTATATAGTCCAATATCACATTTGTCTCAGTGGACTTTACAGTTCGTATAGAATATGAATACGACACCCTCTGTCCATGATTGATTGACTGATTGATTGATAATTCAAGTTTATTCTATCTTGTTACATATTATTTGTATAGTTTTGGCCATCATGTCTATGAGTTATTATTAACCTGGCCTCAAAGTCATTTCTGTTATAATTAAATAGTTGTATACGATCTAGAGAAACTCAAACACCTCAGTTGTTCGAACATTTTTTAAATGTCAGCAATAATTCCTGATCTTAAAGAAAACTTTGTTGGAACTGGAATAAGTAAAAGGTGCAACAGAAAGTCGGTCTGTAAACTGTGTTTGATGTTTATATAAATTACAGTTTAACTGTCCTTTTTAGTGACAAAGTGCTTACTGCTCAAAAGTGTTTTTTTCAGGAACGAATGAAAAGTATGAGCCAATGACAATTGTTAAAGGAGAAACGTACAGAGAGCCTGACAGAGATCTTTGTTTGTTAAAGTATACTGTTTGTGTATGCGATGCCTTGCCTCTAGCTTCTTTTCCCTCTCCATCAGAGCGTCTCTCTGGCTGTTGATGTATTCAGTCAGCATGCGGGCCAGCTGCCTCCGGTCCTCCAGCTCCGCAGCCAGCCGCCCGTTGTACTCCGCCAGCAGCAAACACGCTTCATCCACCGTCTTCGACAGCTTGTCTGCTGCATCCTTGTCTAGATTCATGTCAAACAATAAGGTCACAGAATATGGGATGTATTTTCAGTTTCTATGCAGGGCATTTGGCTGTACACAGAATAAACCTAATTAGCTAACACTTAACTAACACCTGACTCTTAATTCCTATACATTTTACTTTGAATACTGTAATATTGTTTTATTAAGACTTCTTTACAGCTTATTTGACGTTGTATGTGTATCTGACAATTCCTGGTCACATTTTAACAATTGAATTTAAACAATAACAAATCCCAACAATTACAAATCATGTTTTGATATCCATATACTATATATAAATTAGCCCCAGAAAAGTAATGTCTGATTGTGCACTCGGGTCTTACCACCAATCTTCTCCAGCAGGGACACGTCCTGGACCTCCTGTGGCAGCGAGGCGATCTTCTGACGAACTGCTGCGTCGCCTGAGGCTGCGTTCTCCAAATCCTGCAGCGCCTTCACAAGCTCTTCTGTCTGAAAGGGTGTGAAGGGAACAGAAGGAGAAGGTTAACAGGAGCCAGGAAGGAGTGGAGAAGGGTGAGAGGAGACCAGGACAGATACAACGGGGAAATGAGGACTCCTGCATGTTGTGCCATCCAAGTGAAAATCTGTCCTCCTACCAGTTGAGATGCAGAGATGTCTGAGTTGTGAGGGGAGATTTGGCATCTGTAGTCATCATCTTCATCCTCTTCTTCTTCTTCCTCCTTGATCTTGTGATAGCTTCGTTTCACAGCCTTCTTCTCTTCTGCAGAGTCCAGAACAGAAACAGACACTTCATTATGAAGTTATACTAAAAGGAGAATACAATGCAAATTGTGGACTCTTTTATGATGTGTTCAATGTTAAACGACATTCTACTTGAGTGACCTCTAAAGCAGCCTAGTTATGATTTATTATCCTCATACATCAAGATAGACTTCCCTCCCTCTTCATATTACATCAGCTGATTATTACATTATCAGGGATCCTGGCTCTGGGTTTGTTCGTGGTCTCAGATTTGTTTTGGAGGAAACCCACTAATGACAAATCTGGTTGTGTTCCTGCAGTGATGTAACAAACAAAAGATCCAGCAGTCGTCTCACCTGAAGGCCGGGGGCTGTTTGAGTCTTCTATGGCCAGTTTGAGCTGCTGAATGAAGTCTGCTCTGTAGAGGGCTCTCTCTTTCCAGATGTTCAGCAGTCTCTCCATGGGCCTTTTACAGCCGTCATCCGCTTCTCTGCAGGGAGACAGGAGAGGAAGAAGGAGAAATGATTGATTGAAAAGATCATGTTTACAACATAAAACATAGCAACGAGAGTATTTAGCTTGGTAGTCAGCTCCATATTTAGTCTGAGAGACACCTGAGACCCAAATAGTAGAATTATTTTTGTGGGAAAGAAATCAACAAAAGGCAAACAAATCTACTCGCTGTAGAAGCAGGAAGTAGGAGTGCCTAATTAACTATTTCTCCCACTTCATCTATTACAGCTACACAAACACCTGTTTCACAGAGCATTGCAGACGCCTGAAAGCACACAGCGGTCAAAGAACACCTACCTGGCAACATGGGAGCAGGCGTCCACGAGGACAGTCTCAAAGTCTTTGGCGAACTCGGGTCCTTTCTTCTTGCTGTTCTGGATGACGTCGTTGGCTAGATACAGGAACGTCAGCTTCCTGGAGCTTTTAGCTGGAAGTCACATAAAATCATATTTTCAAGATTTAAAACTCACCTTTACACTACGGTCAACCTGTGGGGGACATGCACTCAAACTCGTTTAGTTAAGTTTACTTAATAACTGTATAACCTACTGTAAATATCTTCAACGCATACTTTACTTCAGCAACTATTATTTTTCAGATATTTTGTCAATGTTTCAACGGGTAGCACATGTCTTGAGATGAGGTCAAGCGTCTTAAGTTAACCAACATGTTCTCTTGGTTTAATCCAACCTTATCTAGCTAGGTTCAACATCTCTGAATCACCGCATTTCTCTATATAAACGCTACTAATCTCTGACTAAATGTCTTGTTTTATGTTGCCTCTTTACTCTAATAGTTTCAATAATAAAGAATATTTGTTAAAACTTTGTATGAAGTTGAAGATGTCTATAATGCATTATAAGCTCATTCACAGGGAATGATATTGCATTAGATCTTATTTACAGAGCTGTCCATTTATTTTGAGGCCAAAGTTATGCTTAAGTGTTTAATTGGTGTTTTTAAGACATTATTCAATTTTAGAAACTAAATGTAATTTTCCTTTTTCTGGACTCCTTACATTTTATCCTCGTTTTTGGCAATGTGAAACATTTGGTCACCTTGAGTCATTTTAGAAGTTTCCTAACCCTTGGATGAATTCATTATCAGAAAGTTGGGCATGTAAGGTTATGTTATCACAATAAGGTTTGGAAATGAACTCTTTGCCAATTTCAAACTGTTAAAAATGATTAACTCTACTAACAGGATTTGGTTCATCACTGTTGCAATGTAACTAAGAACAGTTACTCAACCACTGTCATTAAGTAACAACTTAACTTTCACTCTACTACCTTTAAGGGACAAATATTCCACTGCGTTTGTCTGACAGATTTCATTACTTTTAGGATTACAGTTTTCCATAGCTTTAGTGTCCACTACAAACCATGCAATGTAATCTACAACGCAGCAGAAATTAATCCAACAACTTTCAATATAAGACATATTTGTTGCTGATAGAAACCTTTTGTATTGTAAATGTTATATAATTGTATCTTTTGTTTATTTTTGATTGCTATCTGATCCACTACAATTTAGAGGCAAACATTTTAATTATTTGACAGCTGTACCTACTTTGCAGATTTTGACTACTTATACAAATTCTAAATCAACATAAAGATCATGATATACATGTTATAGTTCACACACACAACCCAGCAATGCATATAGTTATTCAAATCAGCTCAACTTAAACTGGGTGCAATATTCAAGTGATGAACACATGAATGCCTGCATAATTACAATCCAGTAATGCAATATAACATAATATAATATGTATATAAATTGGTCATTGTGCAGAATGCACGAGGAGTCATGTGGTAAAAACATTAGTGGTTTTACTAGTACATGCAGTAGGTTTCTGTGGCATTGCTACTTTTACACTTCGTCCATCAAGGTTCACGTTACCAATATCGCGATAAATTGCACAGAAACAACCATATGCAGCATCAGTATACTTTGCTCTCACCTTTCCTCAGCTCTCGGTGCCACACTTTGACGATGAGGCCCGAGTGTTTTCGGTGGTGGATGATCCACAGAGACAGAGTCTGCACGCTCTGCTGCGAGCTGCTCAGCTCCGTCAGCTTCTTCTCCAGAGCCGACTCGGAAAACGACGACATGCCGGTCTAAGTGTGTGTTTCCCCCTTGACCCGAGCGACCCAGACCCGCTCTAAAGCGACAGAGCTCCGACCTAGTTTGGAGAAACTCGCATTGTCATCAAAACTGAAGTTGTGTCGCTAATCTGCAGACATGCACCCTCAAACTGCCCCTGCTTCACCTAACGATATATTTCTATACTTTTTTTTAAGCTCTTGACCCGACTGTATTATCAACCACATCTGCTGAACAAATATAAAAGTTCAAATTTAGTTTTTGAGCTCCTGTGTCTTCACTGTTTGGAGTGTTTGTTTACAGCCAAAGCTAACATTAGCTAGCCTAGCTAAGCAGCCATCTGCAGCGCTGAGCCGAGAGTTTAACCCGGGTTTAAAACACCAGCTTCTGTAATACTAGCGCAGAGTAAGTCTTCGGTCGTGAAATAAGATAAAACAAAAGCGCTAGTGACGGTGAGACTCACAGTTTGTCTTTGCTTGTCTAATTAGGAAGATTCCTTCGAAAAAACGGCCGCCTGCACTTTCACCTCGACATGTGCGTCGCACAGTAGTGACGTAGGCAGAGCCCGGCGTCAGTTTTTTTCAAGGCATAGTAATATATATTCATAACAACGATAACCTCCTCTTATACGCAAGACACGTTGGATAGGAGAGATAACTTCAATTAAATAACATAGATGCTTTGTATACATAATAAGAAGCAGGGACAAATAGTTTCAGTTATGTTTAGAATGGGGTTTATTTGGTCCAGACCCATATTCAGAACTTTGAAATGTTCTTATTTTCTCATGGGGCTCACAGGATAAAGAACATACTTAGAAATCTACTTCTATTTCATTATATTGGAAAAAGTATATTGTTCAGGGCATTAAACTCTATTTAAAAATGTTTGACTAAATCAAAAAGTCATACAATTGTAAACATTCTTAATCAATAGTTTGCAGACGGCCATGTTTGTATTCTTTAGCTATTTTAAAATGGTTTCTTTTTATAAACCTCAATTTAAAGTGTTCTGTTACAATTGTGGGAAAAGATATTTCAACACATATTTATTTAATATTATACATCTTATAACTATTAATAGAATCAAAATGATAACTGAATAAATGAAAACAAATCTGTCACTAATATGTTACTAATGTACTGCTATTACGCTTGTAGCTTAATCAAAATTTTTTGAAAAAAGGAAAGCATGCAAAACCACTCAAACCTTTCTGTGCAGACATGCAAAATGTCCTTGTCCATTTGCCTCCCTAATACCACTGTTGACATAATGCACAATATTCTTGTCAAAACATTGGGTTTGGGTCCTGCACGCAGGGGAGTATCAGTCAAATCGTATGTTTAGTGCAACAGGTGTGTTTACCAATATGAGCCTCAAATTTCAACCAACATGTAAATTTGCTCCACCTTTTTTCCTGAAGTAGGCTACATTTGAACTAAACAACAAACACACGTGCACGTTCTAACTTTTATTATCAAAGGCTCTGCTTGTTAGGCTACTCTTGCCAGACAGTGTGCTTCAAAAAATGTTAACCACCAATGGAAATTAAAATATATTTTAAAGAAGATATCTAACTGCTTAAAATCATTCCTCACCAGCTTGTTCAGCCTGTCAGTGTCCCTTTTGTTGGTGTTTCCCCCAGCACACCACGGCAAAGAAGAGCACAATGGCTAAAAAAACAACAGATCAATGATTTGAATTATAATTGTATTGGATAGTTTCATTTTAAATGGAGGGGAACTCTACAGTCACACAAACAAATCTGACATGCAAAAACTCACCGGAAAGATGCAAACGTGATCCTCCCGTCCCTCCCTCTTATTCAAACCCCCAGAGCTTCCCCAGCACAGTGTGTGTGAGGTGGAGCTGAAGCATGGACCTGTCTGCTGCTGTGTTTCTCTCCTTGGGATGGCTGCTGCTGCGGTTTGCTGCGGGGGAACTGGATTACCTTTCTTATGGGCACGGGATGCAACTGCAGGGCAACTTCACCCTCGCTGGATTCTTTCCTCTCCACTACCTGACAACACAAATCAATGGTCTGCCTGCTTTGGTACCGTGCAATGAGTGAGTTTACACTACACTATTGATCAAATGTATCTCGCTGGTGGTCTGGTTAAGAAATCAATCCAAATATTGTTGTTTGTCTTTACAATCTGGAGTTTTAGTGTTTTTGGTTTGTTTATTATACATTTAGTTTTAAAAGCAGTCAGATCATTTACAGATGGATATTATAGATATGTCACATTTTGACATGATCACAACAAAATCATGTTCTTAAAGGAAACCAACAAACAACATTCAGCTTCAAATGAATGTGTTCATCATCAAACAGCCATCTCTATTATCAGAGGGAATCTCTTAATTTACACTTTGAACAATTGTTTTACAAATGAATAATTGTTTTACAAATGAACAAATATTTAAATGATACCAATAATCTTTACTAGTAATAACCATCTGAAGTATGAAAAATGACACGTTTGCTTTTTACTTTTTATATACTACTTGTTTCATCATCATTTGTCACATTAAAATGTACTTTGATCATGAAACATGAGAGCCCTGGGCTTTTGCCCCTAACGAGTTATGGCTTTTTTTACATGCAACCTTCATAGGGGTTGAGGTTTAGGCTTTTAATGTCTTACATGTAACCCTTTCTAGAGGTACAGCCAACAAACATGGCTATTATCTTTTGCAAGCAATGAGATTTGCTGTGGAAGAAATCAACAACAGCACCGGACCCCAGCCTCTTTTACCAGGAGTGACGCTGGGCTACCAGATGTATGACATCTGCTCCAGAGAGGCCAGCATCCTGGCCTCTCTGGACCTGCTGAAGCAGCAGTATCAAAGCCCCTCTGAGACTGAGGAGGACACAAACTACAACAACAGTCGCCATGCAGTGGCTTTGATTGGCCCCGACAGCAGCAGCAATTCTTTCGGCCCTGCTGCTTTACTGGGGGCCCATCTTATACCTCAAGTAAGTTCTCACCTGGAAAAATGTAAACACGGCTCGTAATTATTGAATATCCCCAATTAAATGTAAAGGCCTTTATATGAGGAATGCACTGATCTGACCAACACCACTCCTCCTCATCCAATTGTATTTTAAACAAATATATTTCTAAAGCTTTCAATTCAAGTATATTTTGACAAGGTTCGACATCATCACACAACAGACTGTTAAGGTTTTAGCTACTGCAGTATACTTTGCCAATCACTGGTTGCATTACCAAGCAACGCATGCAGTGAGGCTGCAAGTAAAACCATAGTCTTTTTGGGAGATTTGGGTACAAAAAGAATCTAATGCAGGTATTGTTTGAATGGAAAAGTTATTTCTCTCAATATCTTGCCAATTCAAACCACTTCCTAGCCATACTGATCCCAGTTTCTTGAGTTGGTATTGGTGTAATTTCAGATATTGCTACGGGTACAACAACCGTTTCTCACATGCTTTTTGCTTCATTTTAGATATCCTTTGAAGCCTCAAATGAAATGCTAAGCAACAAGTTCCGCTATCCATCCTTTCTCCGCACAATTCCCAGCGACAAGAACCAGGTGGCAGCTATGATCCAGCTTATGGTCCGTTTCAACTGGACCTGGGTTGCTATCTTGGGCAGCGACAACAACTATGGTCTGGAGGGCATGCGGAGCCTCTCAGAGCAAGCACCAAAATACGGCATCTGCATTGCCTACCAGGGAGTTATCCCTGCGTACCGTAAAGACACGGTCCAGACAATGAGGAATGTGGTGGATAAGCTACTGAAGACTAAGGTCACCACCACCGTGGTTTTCTCCAGCAAGTCAAAACTGAAAAACTTCTTCCCGTTTGTCATTGAGCGGAACGTGACAGGTAAAGTGTGGATTGGGACGGAGGACTGGTCAACTTCTTCTGTCATATCAGGGATTCGTGGGATCCACACTATTGGGACTGTGCTTGGCGTGTCCATCAAATATGCAGCCATGCCTGGTTTTGAAGAGTTTGAGACAAAGGTAGTTGAGGCTGCAATGCAACAGAGTGACACATACGAAGTCTCTAACATTACAAATGACTGTCTACAGGGCACTGACCTGTACAGCCTCGCCAGGAATAAGTTTATTCTCGAGAAAAACGACATCACTTCCTCCTTGAATGTGTACAAGGCGGTGTACTCTGTGGCTCATGCTCTGCACCGTGCACTTGGTTGTGATTCTGGAGAGTGCCAAATGAGGGACGTGTATCCATGGGAGGTGAGCAGATGTTACCTTGTGCAAAGAAGAAAATCCCTCTCTGTACTTTGCTTGATAGGAACTCATGTTTTCTTATTCCTCTCGTCCTCAGCTGCTCTGGTTGATAAAGGATGTGCATTTCTATCTGGGCAACACCTCTGTGTACTACGACAGTAACGGTGACCCGCCCACAGGATATGACATTGTGCTCTGGGTTTGGAATGGCACTGAGTGTTCGCTCAGAGAGTTGGGCTCTTTCAGCCCAGATCCAATTACGCTCACAATTGATGCTGATCTGATTTACTGGGATGGCACAGGAGATTCAAGATCGGTACGAACTATTACCGTTTCAAGAGTGAAGTGTCTTTGTGTTTTTGGCTTAAACACCTTTCAGATCCAAATAGAGCAAATATGGGGCAACTATAAGTAAAAAGTCAGCTAATGAAAATATAAAATGGACATAACAAGATATGAACACATTTCCCTCAACAGGATTTTTTGCTGCCAACTCAATGTATTTTTTAAATATGAATAATATTGAAAATGTAAATTCTATCAATTTAAATGAAAAGTAAAAGTTTTATCTTTGTCAAACCCTGTTTTTCTGTCCAGGTGCCGCTGTCAATCTGCTCTCCACCGTGCCCGTTTGGCCACAAGAAGCTGCACACAGGGCACCACATATGCTGCTTCGACTGCCAGGCCTGCCCCTCCGCTACGTTTCTCAATACTAGTGGTAACATATAGACATGCAAAAAAGCCAATTCATAAGACAAATATTCATACAAAGATAAAAGGGGGTAGGGGTGGACATTTACAAAACACCATCGTTTTCTCACCGTGAATTGAAACTTAAGGTAGTTTGATGTGCTCTCTGGACTGACCCTAAAGCAGTAGTCATTCAGGCAGTGTGTGTTCAAGTGTTTTTGGGGAGTGGCTTGAAAGGAGGCTTGAAAGGATGCACCTTTCTCCAGAGTTGCCAAACCCAGATTTAAGCCGAAGGAGGTTGTTACAAATAGAAAATATATCTAAACACAAAATAGCTGGATGAAGGCATTGCTCACCAGTCAGGACAAAGACCACACTAACAGAGCAGGGGAGAGTTCATCTAATTATTGTCTAAATAAAACATAAAAACAAACATTGTTATAATTGAACCAAATGACCTCTCCAACAACAGTATTTGTAAATTGTTGTGTGTATGGTTGGCCAGCAGATGGCGCTGAGTGCTCATACTTCTCTTTCACAAACACGTGTTTTTACATCTCTGCTGTCTCTTTTCTTCAGAGCCCACTACATGCCAGCCATGTCTCCCAGAGGAGTGGGCACCCCCAAAGAGCGAGCAGTGTCTGAAAAGGACTGTCCTGCTGCTGCCCTGGGACGCCCCCCTCTCCATCGCCCTGCTGTTTTTCCTGGCCACCTGTCTTCTCATGACCTCCAGTTCTGCAATAATCCTCCTGCTCAACCTGAACACGCCTGTTGCCAAGTCTGCTGGAGGGCGCACCTGCCTCCTGATGCTGGCAGCCCTGACTGCCAGTGCCATGAGCACTTTGTGCCATTTTGGCCAGCCGTCTCCTCTGGCCTGCATCCTCAAGCAGCCTCTATTCGTCTTCAGCTTCACTGTGTGCCTGGCCTGCATCACCGTGCGCTCTATTCAGGTTGTGTGCATTTTCAAATTTGCATCCAAGCTGCCGCCGGCCTATGACAAATGGGCCAAAAACAACGGGCCAGAGTACACCATTTTTCTGGTGTCCGTCACCATCTTGCTAATTTCTGTATTCCGTGTGGCCCTTAACCCCCCCAAGCCCTCAAAGGATCTGAACTTCTACGAGCACAGCATTGTGTTGGAGTGCAGTAACACCCTCTCCCCTGGTGCGCTCAATGAGCTCGCTTATGTGTCCCTGCTCAGCGCCCTCTGCTTCACTTTCAGCTATATGGGCAAAGACCTGCCAGCCAACTACAACGAGGCCAAGAGTGTGACCTTCAGCCTCATGGTGTACATGATGTCCTGGATGAGCTTCTTCACCCTCTACCTCATCAGCAGAGGCCCGTTCACCACTGCCGCCCATGTGTTCGCCATACTCTTCAGCGTCCTGGCCTTCCTCATGGGCTACTTCTTTCCCAAAATCTATATTATTGCCCTGAAGCCCCAAATGAACACAAACGCACATTTCCAGAACTGTATTCAAATGTATACCATGAACAAATAATGAAGCAAGTACATATTTCAGTTGATGAAAAGTAGTTGAGTTGTATGTTGCAGGGATATTGGGTAGTAAAAGTGGGACATGACAGGTTAAGTGTCAGTTTTAAATGTATTTCACAACTAAATGTAAAACATTAATTGTATGTGCAGAAATGTTTTACTACATTGTTCTGTATTGGGGAAAAGAAAATAACTAAATAAGGGATTTATTTAGCTGTCTGTTCACATTTGTAAAACCCTAATTATTATGGTGCTATTCGTAAAGGATGACAACTGTTACCAGAATGTTGGGGGGGTTGTTAGATTACAAAGCAAACCACCTTAAATTCTGAAGACTACATTTTAATGTTTTTTTAAATAAACTTGTTAAGGCTATGTGCTATAAATATGCTAACAGTCAACTCTAAAATACATCGATAACCCCTGCCTACCTCCGATGACATGGTCAAAATGGGATACACTTTTTCATTACATGCCACTTGTTAGACGCTTTTATCCCAATCGAATTGAATACATTCAGTAGCCTACTGTGGGCAATCCCCACAGGAGCAATTTGGGGTGATGTGTCTTGCCCAGGGAAACAACGACATGCTCAAACTTGCTTTCGCCCCTGATCAGAAGATAAGAGCGCTATCCCACTGATTCACACCCTCCCCTTTTTCCATATCATATTAATACTCAGCTGCTCCAAACCCTTTACAAAAGAAAGTGTATAATGACAATTATATGATTACGAGTCCAACAATTAATGAATTGCAACACGTAACAACTATTTTTGGTCTTAACATTTGTTTGTTTGTAGCCTACTATTAGTACCAAAGAGAGAAAATCAACATGCCACATATTTCATTTAAATATTTTGCTTCACTCATCCTAGCTATCTCAGACCAATCAAAAGGATTGTTTTATGTAAAGGAAATTTGTAGCAACACACCATTTATGATTGGCTGCTGGAGCACAAGATTATTTGTTCAAAACGTCACCCTATGTGAAGTAAGGCATACAGGGAAAATGGACATCAATCACAAATAAATATAGTATTTAATTAATAATTTAATTTGGTTATTTGATTGATTGATTTATATACTGTATTGTCTTGTTTATGTTTCTTATGCTGGTGTTATCTATTGTGTATCTTGTTTTTTATGTATTTGTACGGCGACCTTGAGAGCCTTGAAAGGCGCCTATATAAAATAAATGAATTATTATTATTATTATTATTATTATTATTAATCATTAAAGTTCCCATAATTCGTTGTTTAGCTGAAATATTGTGACTCAAACTGTGTGGTATACCAGACAAGCCAATTTAAACCCAGGATTAAGTACATTCAGTGTGCTGTTGGAGGGGATCTATAGCGCCCCCCAGCGGCTGTACTGTAGGACTAACATAATAACATTTATGGTTGAAATGTCATTTTTCTGAAAAAAGGTTAAACATAGTGTGAGACCATTTCATAATTCTCAAAAAGTTTCCTTCATTTAGAAATGAAAATCAAGTTTATGTGTTGGAGAAAATACAATTATCGGTTTTCTTTAGATATTTATATTAGATATAGTGACCTATGAATCTCTTAAAGTTGTAAATGTTGGCTCTGGTCGACAAAACAAGTGCAAGTGATATAATTGCATTTCCTGGGATCTGACAACAAGTGGCAGCTGCTCACATAAAAAAAGTTTCAGTTTGGCAGCATGACGTAACAGTGCACATCAATGAAATGCACAAAAGGCCTGTCTTGCTTGTGTGTGTATGTGCAACACACACACACGTGCGCACACACACACACACACACACACACACACACACACACACACACACACACACACACACACACACACACACACACACACACACACACACAGTGCTGCTGTTGGCTGTTGTTTGAGAGAAGAGATGAAAAGGCCTTTTGTGGCTGGGAGGTCAGCCCATTGACCGGTAGATGTGTGAGTAGAGTCCGAGCTCAGTTTTCCCACAGTCTCTCTGTCCACTCATGGCTAATACCCTCAGCCAACAATAGAAGTGTGCCATGGGTGAACAAGCAGGAGTTTTACTGTCAACACACAAGGACCAGAGCAATGTGCTGGCGGGAAGATTTTGGGAGTTTTATTTAACAAGCTCTCGGATACATTGCATTTTAGAAAGATAAGTGTTCAACATCACAAAATATTTAAGGAATTTATTATCTGGGGATGAGAAGACTGAATCATCTGTCCGGCAATTATTTGTCAGTTAGTCGGACAGAAACAATGTTTTTTGCTCGGAAAACTATGAATATCCAAGATGTCTCACAATAAAAACTAAAGATAACAATGAATAAACAGTGAACACATGTTAATCCATGTACCTGCTGCTTTGTACCAGAATACTTCCGTGCCCCAATTTCAGAAAATCTAGTCTCAATAAAATATGCAGGTGAAGCAGTGCGGAATTTGTTGTTTATTTTATTAAAATTGCATTTGTCATTAAAGTACTCATATTATTTTTAGTTAACGTAAAATGTTCTTTGTTGAATGGAGCATCATTTCTAATATAGGTTGAAGAAATATCTCAGTTGCACACTATAATTTAAATCAATAACATGCTTACTTTCAATACCTTATTCCCCCGTTGATCCAATGCATTAAATCCTGTTTAATTATTCCCTGGGAGCACATCAGGAGATACTGCCGTGTTCCCGTGTGTCACTGGAGTGTGAGATAAGCAACAGAAATTGACAGCACATCATTCCCAGTCTGATATATGTCCTGGGAATGGTTTTATCTCTACTGGTCAGCCTGTGATTGCTTCACCTCGGAGTTATTGATGTGTGTCCCATTGTTACAAACCCCAGCCCTGCCAGAGTCACATGGCCTTGTTATGCTAATAGGTCCCTATAAAATGAAGAGTGGCTCCTGAAGAGAGCTCAGATCTAACACTGCACTCCAGAAGAAGCAGCTACCTTCACCTGCACAGACATGGCTCCCTGCTCCACCAACTACTCCTCTATTCATCAGATCAGGATCTCTGAGAAAGACAACATTAAAGTAAGTACTGGATTGGAATTAATGTCTTTTTTAAAAAAAATTATCAGAACGTACATTAGAACATATGATTGTTTATTATTGGAAACATGAACTTACCTTGCTGTCTTCTCTTCCCCCAGTTAAGAAAACCTGTTGTGGAGAAAATGCGCAGAGATCGCATCAACGTTTGCATCGAGCAGCTCAAGGCCATCCTGGAGAAGGAGTTCCAGCAGCATGAGCCCAACTCCAAGCTGGAGAAAGCAGACATCCTGGAGATGACTGTGAGCCTCCTGAGGCAGCAGCTTCAGCCGGGCCTCTGTCAGAGCGACTACAGCCAAGGCTTCTCCGTCGCTCCTCTGCAGGGCTTCCAGCAGCAGCAGCAGCAGCAGCTCCACAGAGCCAGCCGCTCCTCCTCAGTCTGCTCCACCCTCAGGCCCACCATGCTGCAGGACAGCAGCAGCAGCAAAGGCCCAGTGTGGAGGCCTTGGTAGAGAGTCTGAAACACAGACATTCTGAGACCTGAGGGGCTGTCCCTCACTATGTAGGAAATATATTTCCAGCCTGCTCCTTCATGGTGTCTTTAGTGTTTCATCATATTGATGATAAGATAAGTAAGAAGGACTCTATCCTTTAATCCCAAATTCACACTGGAGATCATTCAATGTATGCAACATCTTTCAGAATCAATCTGCATCACAGTGAGGTTGTCTCTGGTGTTTTGTTACTTGATGTAACTGAAAATATATATATTTGATGTATAAAGTTGAACTTGTTCTAAAGTTTTAGAGGTATGTCACATTGTCTTTGAAAACACAGTGCTTTACTGTTGTGACCTATTTGCCTTTAATAAAGGAAGAAGGTATCTGCCTAAATGCAGCTCATGTGTGCTGTGTATTCTTTTGTAATGCACTGCACTGTAAGTAAATGCCAAGTGTTGAACATTTTATTTTATTGTGAAACATATTGTTTTGTTTGAAAGCGTGGAACTTAATGCACTTCGGATTTCAATAAACATTTTGTGATCTACTTATTCATTGGAATTCATTCTTTCACATTGATTTGTGGACAAGAACAATGATGTATTCTGTGTGTGTGTGTGTGTGTGTGTGTGTGTGTGTGTGTGTGTGTGTGTGTGTGTGTGTGTGTGTGTGTGTGTGTGTGTGTGCGTGCGTGTGTGTGTGTGTTATATGTTTTATGACAAAGTATCTGGTTTAGATTTTAAACATGTTGACTATATTAGATATTTCATTTGATTTTATTCATTAGATGATTTTCCCAGGCCAACCATCACCGGCTTGAGTTTAGAATCAGGATACATGTATTTATTACCCTTGCAAGAATTGAAGTAGTCATCACATACAGATCATATGGTACAACTATAGTGTCCTTCACATGCTTATATACAAAGAGGGTGTTACAGTCACAAGATGGAGAAATACCGCTTGAAGGCAGCATACAATGCTTTGTTCAGATTAGCTAAGGCCTACGTAAGAAATGATCATGCTTGTCATATATCTTCATAGAGGCTAAATCATCATGCTAATTGTTGTCACATAGCTTATCATATGCCAAAAACAGCGTGTCATGCTTCTCTTCTAGGTAATAATACATCCTGTCATATACACTGTTATACACTTAGGCCTTCGTTATCATGTGTACATCTGTCCTTGAAAGAGTACATTCAGTATTTTCCCAACAGTATGTGTGAATCTTTCAATCCCAACTACTATTTATTTTAGTTTTTAGTTGAAAACATGGGCCCAATTTAGTCTACTTGTGTCTAGATGTGAGTGAAACCCTTTTCTTTTTTTATATTTGATGGAATAAGCTCGAGATAAATACAATTTAAATCAATGTTGTCATGCTTCCTAATATTTCAAATCACAGGAGGGAAATGTCTGCTTTAGTATTTTAAGTTGAAGCATGAGTTTTCATTTATGAATGTGTAAAAATCCTCCTGCATCCTATTGCTCTCTGGAAAAACTTCATGTTACCTTTTACTAATTGAAAACAAGGCCTTGAGCCAGTGTTCATGATGCAAACTCATCAAATGACAATACAAATATTTTACACTTGGAATTCATGGAATAAAAAATATTGAGTCAGTGTTTTTTAAATGATTGTATCTTTTTATTATCAATTGTCATACAAATGTTGAACATACGTTATAAGAGCCTAAATGTGATAGCAAACCAGCAATATCAACAAAAATGTTAATATTCACATCCATTTGCACACACAAACACACACACCATTATTATAATCGTCATACATACAATTTGGCCTGGTTAATTCAACACGTAAGAGAAATATTCTCAACAGCAGCTGTCAGTTTAACACAGTATGGCAGATACTGTTACATCAAGCAGTCCAAAGATAAACTCCACTGGAGTAAACAGTCAAGATTTGACAGAACCATCATCAACCTCCAGCTTTAAACATAAGGAAAACCAAACATCAAATGTAAATTACCCTTCAAATAAGTGAGAGCCTTCGCTTTTTCTACTACTTGTCCATCAATGTGATGCGACAATAAGGAAACCCACCATAGATGAGCAGGCTGGAAATATATTTCCTACATAGTGAGGGACAGTCCCTCAGGTGTCGAAATGTGTCTATGTTTCAAAATCTCTACCAAGGCCTCCACACTGGGCCCTTGCTGCTGGTGCTGTCCTGCAGCATGGTGGGCCTGAGGGTGGAGCAGACTGAGGAGGAGCGGCTGGCTCTGTGGAGCTGCTGGAGGCCCTGCAGAGGAGCGACAGGGGCCTCTGTGTTGGAAGTTGCAGACAAGAAGTGCACAGAGTCCCTCCAGCAGTTAGAGAAGCCTTGGCTGTAGTCGCTCTGACAGAGGCCCGGCTGAAGCTGCTGCCTCAGGAAACTCACAGTCATCTCCAGGATGTCTGCTTTCTCCAGCTTGGAGTTGGGCTCATGCTGCTGGAACTCCTTCTCCAGGATGGCCTTGAGCTGCTCGATGCAAGTGTTGATGCGATCTCTGCGCATTTTCTCCACAACAGGTTTTCTTAACTGAGGAAAAGAAGACAGCAAGGTAAGTTCATGTTTCCAATAATAAACAATCAAAATGTTGAATGTACATGAGTTTAAAAAAAGCATTTAAATCCAATCCAGTTCTTACTTTAATGTTGTCTTTCTCAGAGATCCTGATCTGATGAATAGAGGAGTAGTTGGTGGAGCAGGGAGCCATGTCTGTGCAGGTGAAGGTAGCTGCTTCTTCTGGAGTGCAGTGTGAGCTGTGAAGTCCCAGGAGGGGCTACTCCTCATTTTATACTGAGGGATTAGCATAACAAAGCCATGTGGCTGAGGCAGGGCTGGGGTTCCCACACTCTGACCAGTGGGACTCCCAGCACAACAATGGAGGACATGTCAATAACTCAGAGAGCATTTATCTGTGTGGGGCATGTTTCCCAAGATAAGCAACAGGTAATTAACATGTTATCATAGCGTGGATCTGAGAATGAATCATGAATTCAAGGGCCAAATAATTTTTTACTTTTTAGAGGTAAAATAAGGGGAATTGATACACACCAAAGTGAGCATCTTCAAAGGGGGGTTACTGCAATTAGGAGCAAATGCTTCACTCAATAAAACAATATAAACTGAAGGCTTTCATTTTACTCCCAAATATATTGGTAGCAGACAGGAGTGTTGACACATCTAAATCTTGTTTTCGGGAGAACATTTGATAATTTGGTCATAGGTTCCCTGCATTTAGTCTAAATACTGTTTAAATGAGGGACATTAACTGAAAGAGGAAGGAAGGAGTAGGTAAAGAGGTCATTAAAGTTAAACAGTGGGGACAACTGGCTTGAGGGGAAACATTTCATTACCCACCTGTTGCTTTTAAATCACGCGTTGCTCAACGTTCACAGTTCAAATGTTCTCTTGAACACGCGCGAGTTTCCCACGGGAGTAATGTGTGAAGAAACTGCAATCATGTGAGGAGACGCTGATCAGAGGCTGCCGCTGGCTCGTGCACCAGGTGTGAAGGCAGGCGAGGGGCGCATCTTATCGCCGGCGCGAGTCGAAGACCGCGTGCTGTCGTGTTGCAGTTAGGGGCTCGTGTCGTGTGCACAGCATGATTTTTTAAGTTTGTAAGTATCACTTCCTCATTAAGAAAACATGGACGGGGGTGTATTTTTAGCAATGCTGTCATCTGAGTTATTTTGAAATTGAGGTTTCCTCCCAAAAAGTAAATATAAATCACACTAAGAAAGAAAGAAAGATAAATAGAACGAATTAAAGACATGTTAAACCTTATAAATGAAGCCCTTCATGAGGAGAACTGACCTATACATTTGCTGAAAACAAAACATGAATATGATTCTACATTAGGCTACTTTACCAAAATATAGGTTAGCCTATACTCCAGGGTGGCCTAAAGCATATGTGACTGTTATTTCAAGGAGTTTATATACTTATATTTTGACAATTACAAACATTTCTAAAAGTAGGATTTCAAACGTTGTGTTTGATGAGAGAGGATTTTTCAGAACCTGTATACTACATGTTCAATACAAGTGTTGAAACAAATCGCAATTATGATATTGTTGTTTTGAGTCACATATTAGTCACTGCTGAACAACTATAGGCAAACTTTCATCATAAGCTCTTGTCTAATGTCCCCTGAGGGTCTGCAGACCCTGTTATATATGAACTGTGTCAAATTAGTGTCAAGTTAATGGCATTATGAGCAAGCTGGCAGTGTGCCTCTGAGGGCCTCCATCACTGCTGGCCCCAGATGTGAGGCCGCCTTGTGGGTGCAGTGTGAGTAGTCCTGTCGGCGCAGTTTCCCACCAGTCCCCAACATCAGGGTAAATGAGCTACAAAAGCAGCGCCGCTCCTCAATGCTCCACTGGGAATGTTAATTGATCTTTTGTTGCAGGACAAACAGAAACTCTGTGTCTCGGTCCATCTGGGAAAAATCAAGTCAACTGTCTTCACTGCCTGGCACAGAACAGTCTGTCTGCCTGTAATCTGTGTTGATTCTTTTAATTTAAGCCCATTTGTAATGCTGAAACAAGTACGCAGAGTTGTATTCAGTCAAAGTAGAAATGCCACAACAGAAAGACTACTCTGTTCTGAAAAAGAAGGTTTTTCAGAGTGCTTAAGTGATTTGAAACAGTGTGTTTGAGGGAAAACAAACTAACCCAAATTTGAATAACAAATAATACAATTGCAAATATTTGAATGAGGAACAAGAATCTTGTAATCATACAACAGCACTTTAGTTAATGAACATACTATACATCTTCACTTCATGAACCCTTCTGAGCAGGTTGGGGACCTGTTGATTTTGTTGGTGTCACATTGGGGTTTGTTCTTCTTCTTCATTTGCAAGCTCAGGTCAATCAATCAATCAATCAATGTTTATTTATAAAGCCCATTATCAAAACAGGATCGAGGTTGTGTCAGGTGTACTTAATTAACATATATATTATATATATATTTCTTCCAGCATGTCTGTAACTATCTTGTCATATTTGCAGCAGAAATTAAAAGCATAAAAATGGCCAATCTCTCATGACACGTCAATGTTTGGTGTTACTTTCCTCTCCTCTCGATTGATTTCTTTGTATACATGTTTGTGTGAATTTGTGCCTCTTCTCAGAGTTAGTGTGCACTACACGGCTGCTGGGGGTCTTTGTCTACAAGTGTGTGTGAAGACGAGTTCCCCTCCCACCAACAGCCTGAGAGCTCTGAATTCCTGCCATAAAGTCTCGACCAATGCTCAGACCTGCGGCGGCGCAGAGAGGCTTCTCGTCAGCCATCTCTCTGTGAGTGTGATATCTCCCGTTTCCCACACTCTGTGCCTATTCACTGGCCCCGAGACAGGAACAAAAGAAGTGTGTCTTGTTACACATCACATTAGCTACGGTGTTTGATCTCCTGTTGAAGGGGGAGGGGAGGCAGCTTCAGCCAGACCATCTGGCCTGGCCAACTAGACCCTGAGAAAGTCTCAGGCACATTCTCCACAACTTCTGCACACACAAATAGTTGTGAAAGACTTTTGTGGCACTTCAGACATAATTCAAGCACTAGACAGCATGCCACGACCACCACAACAGAAGTGGGGCATGTGAGGGGGGGGCTCCCTCCACGCCCCAGTTTTTTCCATTTTTTTAACACCTGTGCACCAGTAAGGTCAGATAAAATGACACTTTAATAATCCCATGGGAAATATGGGGAGTAAGATTAAAAGTAAGTTAAAACTTTCCCTAAAGTATACAGGTGTTAAATACCATCAATCTGACAGGGAGTGCTGATGTTAGAGCCTGTTTGACGAAATGTGGTCAAGTGCTTATGTTAATTCATGCTTAGTGTGCTTTCTGAAATAAATGAACATAAACTTATAGGATGAAAGCAAATCAGGTCATTAAAATATATTCACTAAAAATGAATAATCAGTCAATCATGTCAGACCCTATTATCTTATGTAAGACTTTCAATTTCGTTTAAATGTGCATTTTATCAAGATCTGTACGATTTAATTTAGTTGATTTTGCATTGGTTCCACAATAAATACTTGAAATTGTCATTTAAGAAGACATACAAAGCAAATTGTGTCAACTGTTAATATATGAACACTGACGTACAGGGCCTGATGGCAACTTAATGCTAAAGTTAAAATAAACTATGATGATTAGCTGACAAAGTTGCACATTATTATTATTATTATTATCTAAGAATACTGCTACAGGAACCAAACCTTGATTTGTATGCTGTTGTTCCCTTGAGCAAGGCACATAAGAGATGCTGCTGTTAGTTGAAGCTGTGCTCGTAAACTCTGACTTCAAAAAAACACTACATGCTTTCAAAGAATTCATTAATGATTCATTCTGACTTTCAAGGCTCAATGTCAGCAGCACACAACCGTTTTATGTAGGACATTTCTGTAAATGTTGTCCTCTTTACAGTTTGATTTTTTAAGAGAAAGCGAAGGCGACAACAATTGTTTATATTTAGCAAAACTTCATGTGAAGTTTTCAATTTATTTTGCAAGTTCACAATAATACTTCTCAATGAAGCAATTCAACCGATTCTTTTAGTAAAAAGATTGATGTCAACATAACATGCCTTTATAAAAGGTACTCACATGAAGATGAAAAAACATCTATCAGGAACAGTTCAAACACTCCTTCACACATATAGGCCAAATGATGGTTACACAGAGTCATAATCAAGTAATCATAAAAAGATTTACAATAAAAGTGGATCCATGGGATCCATTTATGGGATGTCGTTGATTCATCAAAACAAGCTGATGAAAATGATCAGTCAATGATACTCAGTATCACAGATAGACAGCATGTAAACACATTAATCAAACAGTGTCTCAGACAATAAGACTTTCAACCCAATGTGGGTTTTACAACAAGATCATTCAGTGACGTTTGCAAAACAAACAAACAAAAGTTTCCCCATGGGGACATTTAACACAATCGCAGATTAATAAGCGCTTTAAATAAATAAAGTGCATAATGTGTATACACATGGTGTATATGTTCAGTCTTTCCAAAGGAGTACCGGCACATTGTGCCCATTTCGCCTCAACACTAAACAACATTGAAACTCCTGCCAGAGCAGAAGGGATCAGACTTCAGTGAGTCTTTAACTTTCTGTCCATGACGTTCACAGACGTAGATCTCTGAGGGTGGAAGTGATGCTGTCTCCATCCTACCAGGGCCTCCACAGGGCACTGCTGGCCTGGCTCACACCCTTGGAGCTGACCTGATGGAGCGGGGAGCCAGGAGGGGAGAGGCTGCGGGGGCTGGACCCCTGCAGGCCCTGGAAGTGGCTGAGCAGCCGCTGGTGGGCCTGGGTCTGCACCTCGCAGTGGGACAGGAAGCTGACGGCCTCCTGCACGCAGCGGGAGTACCCGTCGCCGGCCGGCACCATGCCAGAGGACTTGCTGGCTCTTTGCTTCTGCCAGATTCTCAGATAAGCCACGGCCATCTCCAAGATGTCTGCCTTCTCCTGCTTGGAGTCGGGATGCTGCCGGACGAACTCCGGGCCCAGCAGGGACTTCAGCTGCTCGATGCTGGTGTTGATGCGGTCTCTGCGCAGCTTCTCTACCATTGGCTTTCTCAGCTGAAGAAAGAAGAAGAAAAAACATTTAGAATACACAATACAACTTTTTGTTGATATCATATGAAAACTATTCAACAATAAGGTTTTGTGAATTTGCAGAAATCAATGTACCTTATGAGCAGGAGCAATGTGTTCCTTAGTGTAGCTTGCTTGTCCAAAAACAGTGGGTGCCATAGTTGTAGAGTAAGAGCGTTTCCTGCTCGCTGTGAAGAGTCAGTTGAGTCTGAACTGCCTTCTCCTCTGGCTCAGCCCTGTATTTATACTCCCAAATCTACATATGAATGTGTGGGTCTTGGGCTTGTTGGAGTTTCTCACAGTCCCTCGGCCAATGAGAGTGCTGGGAAGGGCTTTGAGCAACGCAGGGCTGCCACATGCTCAATGAAGTGTTTATAGCCGTGGGGACAATGAGTGTGTCTCCGGGGAGCAGGTGGAGGAATAGACTGAGAGAGAAAAGAGCCCGGGGTGGGGCGGGGGGAAGTGGGGGGGGTAGCTGGGAGACTGACCCAGTGCTTGTGTTGATATGGGAAAGTGGTGACCCCAGAGGGAAGCACGCCGCTGGCTCATGTCATCTCAACCGCCACGTAATTGAGCACAAAGTGCCTCCGCCACCAGGCACACGTGGGAGCTACAGAGGGCCAAGCATTAGAAAAGGCCAACATGCAGACACTTCCACCGGTTTGACACGGCAGACTTTCTCGTGGAGCTGTGCAACAGTTGAGATGTCTTAGAGATGAAAAGAAAAAGTGACTCTCTGTAGGTTTTGTGACTCAAATAAAATGTACTTGATGAGGAAAGGAACCACATGTGGACTCTTACATTCATATTTCTGTTTGACCCACATACAGTTTCCATTATTTATTGGTTCTTTAATATGATACGTTTTTTTTAAATGTTCTTTTCTTTTGGGTTTTGTGTGGGCAAGGTGGCGTCAGGTGAATTTTAGAGATCATAATTATTCAAATGTACATACTTATCACAGTTTAATGACCGACCTTCTGGTTCAACTGTAAATTATACAATTGTAAATAACATCTCTTGATGGTTATCTTTCACCATCATTTGTCATTTCTCTTTTATATCTCTGCATCTTGATCTTAATTTGCTCGTGCTTTGGAGGCCTTACTGTTAAGCTTTCTGTTGTTATATTACCTTTACCCTGTTTTTTTTTCATCTGTCAAAGCACTTTGCAAACTCTGCTTTTAAAGTGTCACTGAAACAAATCAATACTGACACTGGATATTTTTGCTTGACTAAAGGACTCAAAAGAGGCTGGCATGCTTTTGAAGTTCAGTCTGTCCACTTCAATTTGACCGTAGGTGAGATGATTTGACCCGTGGGAGAAGAAGAGTGCTTCAACCATAAACATCCTATCAGCCTCCACACTCCCAGCACATGTTCACACATCAGGCAAACCCTCACATACTCTTACAGACAGCCCCTCATTCCCTTTCTCTCTCACACACACACACACACACACACACACACACACACACACACAGCACACACACACACACACACAGGCACACGCACACGCACACGCACACAGCTGGCTGACCTGCCTGCCGCTGGCCACGTCTCAGTCACACGCTCCCTTCCTGCCTGTGTGGAACGTGGGAGCCGCTGTGGTCCCAGGCTTCCCACACTTCAGTGTTAATGACACTGAGGCCGGCTGCACAAAGGAAGTGTGCCCCATCGAACAAAGATTGTGTGACCAACCCACTCCCACCCACCCTCCCTTCCCCACACACACACACACACCCAGGAAAAAAAATATACACACACACACACACACACACACACACACACACCAAGGAACACAGTTCTGTCGGCAGGGCTTCCAGGCACACCATCTGGACGGATCGTATGCTATTGTCAGCCAATCAAGCATGGGAGATGCTCACCGTGAGAATTGGAGAGGATGAAATAGAGACAGAAAGTTAAAAAGAAGAATAGGTAGTGTGTGTGAAACTTGTGGATAGTTTGATGAAGTTTATTTTCCAGTATGGGCTTACAAATGTAAACTTGTGTGAGCAAAGAAAAGTTGTAAAAAGTGGAATATAGGGGAAAAAACACACATTAAGGATTAAAATATTAGCCTAAGGAAAAAAGATTAGAATAATTTGAAACTGTGATAATTTTGTATTATTCGGATTTAGGAAAGACATGCATTTTTGAACATTTCATCCCATTTTTGACCAAAAATGGAAGTTGATTGTCAGTCTGTCATTCAGAACATCTCTCTCCACCAGGTTGTTGAATGGGCGAACTTCTCCATGTAGGACGACCTCGGGCTGACATTTTCCTCCATGTTCCCACCACATATCACTCCCAGTCGACACAATGACAAGGATATCTCCATCGCTGTGGAGCATCAGCTGAGCGACTACAGGACAACGAAGGGCCCCTCCCACCTGTTTGTTTGGATTTGGGCCATTGTACCCCATGAATTCAACTAATTCATTCACATCCTATTGTCATAACACTGCTTTGTGATTGGCCAAACAGTGTGAGAACCAGCATCACATTAAATCGATGGGAAAGTTGGTATGAGTATAAAAAGGAACGAGGTCGTGGTGGGAAAAATCATAACCTCGGAAACGCTCCCGACTGACTGGACACTATCTGATATTCACCATGAGGGACCAGCACACAACGTAAGCTCAGATCCACAAAACTCATCTGTAGAAGAAGTTCATTTGACCCATTTGTTTCCTTTATCTCACTCAAGGTCACTCTGAGGTCATGGGGATGATTTTCTTAGTTTGGATGTGTTACCGTGCGATGATGCAGGAATTTCATTGACCAAGAACTTTCAATCAATATTGAATGAAAGACTAAGCTATGAGGCAGATGATCAAAGTTACCTATTGAAGGAACAGTTCACCACCAATTTAGCACTGACCCATATTGTAAATGTGTTTTTATTTGAACAGTTTTTAAGATTTTTGTCTCTGAGAGTTTTGCCTCCACACACAAGAGTATGGGAAAGAGAACAACAGTTTTTATATTTTCAAACTTTTTAAAGTATTAATACACTCATTTGGAAAAGACTATTGCAGTTGAAAATGATATTATTTTTAGTCTGGGAAGGGAGATTTTCTTGAATTTCGTAAACAAACACTATGTATCATTAACCTGATGTTTCTCCTTTTAATCCTCAGCCTGTGTAAGATGATGATTTTGGAGAGGAAATGCACGGACCGAGCGGTGAGGCTTCGCTCAGCCCTGGAGAGCCAGCTCAACTCTGGGGTCTCCAGCGCTGACGTGTGGGACAAGACGGTCTCTTTCTTCACGGTGAAGAAGGCCTTGCTCTTCCAAAACGGCTACAGCAAATCCTCCAGAGAGGCCCTGCGGCTGTTCCCCTCACCTGCCGAGGACGTGGCCCCCCTCTGCTGCCAGTGAGAATAACTAGACATGAAGACGAGATGCAATGAGATGTGGGACTGTGTGTTTGTGCGTCTTCAAAGTGCTGACAAGAAGGGGCTCCAAATGGAAAGTATTTTCAGACGGAAAGAGGACTTTAAATTCAAATCTTGTTTGGTATTTTCACTCCACAGTTAGTGGAAAAGATGTGAGATGTATACCATAAACACTGTGAAGTTATTGGTCCACAAAGAGACCATAAATTGTGCATCCTTTGCCTTAACTGCTCCTTAAGACTCACTAATAGACCATGTTGAAGAGGTTTTGTTAAACTAAAGCCATAATCCTTTGTATAAAGGGGAAATGTGTATGCCAATGCATACTTTGTTTTGTAAATGTTTTTACATTGTGTTGAGTGATGTTATATTAAATTGTGTTGCTGCAAGCCATTATTGACATGTGCAATATCTGCTTTCATATGTAAGTTAAAAATAAATTGATATTGTTTTCTTAACTTTTGCTGTTAAGAGTTGAAAATCATTTCCTAAGAATAATGAAAATACATAAACTTAAGAATGATTGTGTTCAGTTTACGTGCATACCATATCAGCTTATATTTGGTTTACAGGTTGGAAATAGGGAGTTACAAATGCATGTCTTAATGCGTATCGCCCTCTAGTGGCCGTTTTAAAATCAATTCATGACACAGATATATTTTGAAGAAATATGTTTTAAAGCCATTATTAAACCCTAAAATAATTAACGGCAGTAGATGTTTAAATATAATTCTAAAAAATTACCCGCTTACCCAAATCTGCGTGCATCTTGACAGGACATTTTTTATCCTGGCTTTGCCAAAATCTGTCAGACGACCTATCCTAACATCAACCTGTTGCCAAGGTTTCTTAAATCGAGGCTTATAATCTAAACACGACCGTCTTACATTGGCTTTTTTCAAAGCAGAATCTTTTTACAAGGTAAGAAAAGCTCAGTTGTTGCCAAACATTATCGATTCTCTTTTCTATTCAAATGTCCCATGAAGGCAGCAGAATTCAACTGAAATGTCCTCCGTGTTAAAAGTCCTTTGTGTGCAGTTTAAATGTAGAACGTTTGTGTGAACAGAAGAGGCTACCCTGGGTCTTAATTGTAATTATTACGGCTTTATTAATCATAATCTTAATTCAAAAAGCAGACATTCAGCATCAGTTGAACATTGTAGCAGCGGGAAAATGAACAGTAAACTGGGTGGAAGTCCACACCATGCATTCAGCTCTCAGGTACAGGAGGCCGTCTGCAAGATGAACATCGATCAACCTGTTTTCCAGAAATCTGTTTTTGGGATTGACACAGGAGTTTTGGCCCGAGCAATGAAGAAACTGCTGAGGAAGAAGTCCGACAGAACGACAAAACAATTAGTCAAAGAAAAGTGTTTAAGGATATAATGTAGGTCGGTTTTATTATTCATTTAGACAGGTGTCATCGATCGTTGCAACAGATGGAATCTTTCACAAGTCCAAAATTCACTTTGTCACAAAGGCATAGCTTTATGGAAAAAAACAAAAAAACACACTTTTACTCGTCGTTCTTTTCATTTGACTTCTGAGGTTGATAAAAGAAACCTTACACACACACACACTAAATCAAACAACTTTTTCTGTCCATCACTCATATTCCAGTTTGAACCTACATAAAGAACAAACAGCAAGAGCCCCGAAGAAAAGGACAGGTTAGCTTAGCAACCATGAGACACTGAAACCGTCTGTCATTTTAAAAAGCCTGACCAAAAACAAACTTAACCCAAACAAAAAGTAAAACAAGATAAAATCAAATGCAACTCTTAACACGTGGTGGGTCGAATCCCAAACTCTTTTTAGTTACCTTGACAATGCACCCAAACATTAGGGGAGGAGGGGGAGGGGTTTGAAAGCCAAAATAATGTCCACCTTAAAACAGAATTCACAAGTGATTTGCAATAACGTTAATGGAAAAGCGTCCCCGATCTCTTGTTTCAACCTTTTCATAATTGTTACCTTAGCATTCTGAATCAGAGGGGAAACGAGTAAATTCTGTTTAAGTGTGTTCCCC